CTGTCTGTCTCCCTTCTCTCCCTCCCCCCCTCTCTCTCTCTCTCTCTCTCTCTCTCTCTCTTTGTCTAACTTAACTTCAAGGACTACCAGTTGCTGCTGCTGCTGCTGCTGTTGTTGCTCCAAACTCAATTCATTTCAACTTTTTTGTTGGCCAATTTGGCAGAATTGTTTCAAGTGTTTGCTGCAATAATTACAACAACAACAACACCAACAACACTAACAATAATCAGTTAACGATTCCTTCTCTTAGCCATGACCAACAAAATTGTCTAAACTAATTACGAATAGAGAAAAATAGGTAAAAAGATTTGCAAATATTTTGAGCTTTGGGCTTTGGGCTTTGGGCTTTGCGCTTTGCTGCAGCTCATGTTGGAATGGGCGTTAAGAGGGCGTGGCTGCATCAAGTTTGACTCTATGCAAATACTGAATGAAAACTACAAAAGCGTAAAGATTGAAAAAGGGGCGAGAGCGAGAGACGCAGATGTAGCTAATTAACATGCAAAAAAAAGCATAGCTGAGCTGAACGCAAAGTTGTCAGATATATATAGAAGATAAATATGCGATATATACATATATATGAACTTCAGCTATATAGCTATAGATGTCATTTGTGATATTCCCTTGTTTATGTATGCTTAACAGTGGCTGGCGCATGCGTAGCGCAAGTCTCTTGTGCAACTGCATACGCAATGAGCTCTACAGTGCTGGCCAAACAAGTGAGCATGGCTGCCCAGTGCAGCGCCTTTGAAGTGGATACAGTTGGCAGCAGTTGACAACTGTTAAGTGTGTGCTACAGAAGAAGAAGACGTAGAACAACACACACACACACATACACTTGGCTCACTTGATAAGCAGCCCAAAATGAACTGCAACAACAACAACAACAACAACAACAGCAACGACGACAAATGTTTGTTTTAATGCACACTTCCGCCTAACAAAGGGCTTTTCCGTCAATTAAACAGTTTTTTCAACAGAAAAAACAATTAAGAGTGCACTAAGTGGTCAAGTGAGCGACTAGTAGTTACCCCGTAAATGCGCGTTCAGCCAACTAGCCTAGAAAATGCCACATTCTGCACCTCAAATAGGGCAGAGCTAGCGAAAGTCGCATATGTCTTTGCTCTAGTAGCAAGTCTAAGCCAATATTCGAGGGGGCTTCGATCGAAAGTGAGTCATGTTCATATTAGAGTACATATATTTATCAGTTGCAGCTACGACCACGCCTGCCAGGCACTTGCTCTGCAGCCAATATACCCCTTGCTTGCCCACTCTGTTGACAATGAGTTGCTGATTGTAAACAGAGGTACTTAACAATTAGCTGGAAGGGAACACACACACACACATATATATATATATATATATATATATATATATATATATATATATATATATATATATATATATATATATAAAGTACAGCTATAGTCATATTTGAGTTATGCCAAACACACGATCAGCCCCTTGGCAACTGCATACAAAAAGGTAGCTGAACAGTGCTGGCCAAACGAGTGGCTACAGCTGCGATTGAAGTCGCTGTCTTGATAAAACTGACTTCAGTTGATACAGTTGGCGACAGTTGACAATTGCCAACGTTGCTATCTGCTAGCATGAGAACAACGACGACTGTGAGCCAGGGCAGGGCAGGGCAAGGCAAGGCGTGGCATAGCCATGTTATTATAGAGCGACTCCAGACTTGGCTATATTTTGGGCCATTTCATTGGCTTTTGTTGGCTCTTGCCTGTTGGCTGCGTGTTGACTGACAGCCTGTACAATAACAAAGCAAATTATATGATGATGATATTTAAATTGAAGAAGAAGAAGCAGACGCAGAACAACAGCAGAAACATTTGTTGTAATTGGCAGTGCTAAAAGCAAAAGTGAAGCAAAAACGTTTTTGAATTTTAAAAGCCATATGCCGCATGTGTCATACACTTGGCTACCTAAACGCTCTGGCTTGCCCCCTCTACCCCTCTGCCCCTCCCCTCTTGCTCTTTGTAAAGTGCGCCTCAACTTTCGAGGCGTTGTCAGCAAATGACAGTTGCCCATCAGCCAGCCAAGAGAGATCGAAAAAGGCAGGCTTTATATGTGATATTAGAACTGACTGTCCCACATATATATGTATATACACATTTATATATATATATAGATCATATTGTGTACAGCCTGAGGTCTGCTGCGCTTGCAGTTTTTGGCATGATCACAGCGCTGTGTTGAGACTGAAGCGAGCATATCAGCTTGCTGCGAAGACTTTGCAAGAGAAAACACAGTTTGGCTACAGTTTTGATAGCTTGCACTACAGTTTGAGAGCCATTAGCTGTCAGTGAGCAGGGGTAATGATTAACGTGTGTCTCACCTGGCAAAGAAGCTCATCAATCGATAGATTCGACTTGACTTTAACTTGCAGCTGAGTAGAGTTGCGGCTCAAAGCAATTGGTTTTATAGGCACTGAAGAAACAGTGTATATATATCTATATATAAACGGCCCTAACTAGGTGCCATCTGTTATTAGCCCAAATGAACTCGAAGAGTCTACAACTAAAGCTGAGACGATGATGATGAACAGTTTGGCAGTCATTGAATCGTGTTGTGTCTCACTTGTCTTTCCTTGTCAACTGACAGAAGAAGTACCTCTCGCTCTTTCTCTCATCTTCTCTGGCTTTCTCTATGGACAAACCCAGTTTGCGAGCTTCAAAAGTCTTAGCAGCTGTGCCAAAGTATTGGGCAGTCGGTGGGACTCGTCTCGCCCTCTGATTCATTTGCAATTTGCAGTTGTCAACAATTGAAATTTGATTTGACACACACACACGGTCATTCGCTGACTGTTAAACGCTTTGTGGACACTTTTAGATAAAAGTTTAGTTGCCTTTTAGGGTACTTGGGCAACGATATGCATATATATATTTAGCTGAACTGGACCGGTTTATGTTTGTTGTAGTTGGGGCAAAACTTTCGGCAAAAAACAAAATGAGGTCGTTGTCAAAAGCAAAAGCAAAAGCGAAAGTTCAACCCGAGTTGGTTCTGGTTTTTTGGCGGCCCCTTTTCTCCTTATCCCATCTTCCTTCGCTGCGCTGCTCTCTTGTTGAGCACCTCTCACCTGTCGTCTGTATTGGTTGTTGTTTAGGGTATTCCAAAACGAGCCGCGTGCTGCTCAGCCTGTGCAGCTGTTATCGCTCATTAGCCAGCAGCGAGGAGATAGCGTCAACAGCTTCGTCTTAACTTTAGCTTTACTCTGGCTGTGCCTTGGCTCTGCCTGGTGCTCTGGATGTGCCTTGGACCTCACTTGGCTCTGTCTTAGCTGTGACTCTTCCTTTAAGCTTACATTTGTCTCTGTCTTTCCTTGCTCGTCCTTAGCATGCGCTAAGGCCTGTCCCTGGCTTGTCTGTTCTCTAGCTTACCTTCAGCTCTGCTCTAACTCTATCTTAACTTCACCTTAGTTCTTCCTTGGCTCTTGCTTGCCTCACATACTCGTAACTCTTCCCTGGCTAAGCTATAGTTCAACCTAGACTCTTTCTCGTTGGTGCCTGTAGCTCTTCCTTTGTCTCTTGTTGAGCCCCTCCGCTTGGCCTCTTGTTCGCGTGACCGAGTGAAGTCCAAGTTCAAATTGGTCTCAATTCTCGAGTTGAGTTTTGCGGTTCTCCATATGCCTTGGCTTTGCGTTCGTATGCAACTTCCTTTCACGAGCCAAATTGCTTTTGCTTTTCATTTTTGTGGGCTGACGCTTCACTTTTTTTTGCTCGCTTCTTATGTCCGAGTAGGGCATGATGGACTAGATGTGACAGACTTACTGCAACGAAGAGTTGCCAGCTAAAACTGTCTAACTGTATGTGCATGCGTCTGTCTGTTTATTTTAAAGCCCCAATCGATAATTATCGATTTGCTAGCGTCACTTTTGCAGTTAGCTTATGCAAAGGTTCATGCAGTTTCAGCACTATAAATTGTCTTGTATTCCCATAACTGAAGCTAGTCAACTAAACATCGATATTTATCGCTTGATTAGTTATCGCTTAGTCACATTGCATTGCCTCAACAACGGACCATTTGACCAGCTTCACTCCCCTCCGACTCTATGAAACAGGGTATCCTACAGTCGAGCTTGCAGTCACTCTTCCGATTCGTGTATTTTTTGCACTTGTTCTTTGCTTTTTTCTGTTCGCATTTACATGCACTTCCGTTTGACTACGTCAACCACTTTTACACCCGCCTCTGTCTGTCTCCTCCCCTCTGGCCACTCCCCAGCTCGGCCCCTCGGTTTCGTGCAGTCAGCGCATTGTTATGGACGTCATCATTATCGTGATCATGAGCATTGTCACTGTTGGCAAACTGAGAAGCAACAGCAATTAGTCTACTTGCAGCAAATTGTATACTCAAAACTCTATTTCCTTCAAGCAGATCGATTAATTGAGTGCGAATCGAATCGAATACAATCAGCATGATTAAGTTTCGCTACAAGCGCAAGGAGCCCAGCAATGTGGTTGTCTGCAGCCCCACGGCAGCAGCAGCAGCAGCAACAGCAATAGCAACATCTGCAGCAGCAGCAACATCTACAACAGCAGCAACATCTCCGACGGCAGCAGCAGTTGCTCCCGCAGTTGTGCAGCTGCAGCTGATTAGCAACAATGGCACCTTGCCCAGGAGCAGTCCACGCAAGCTGCTGCTCGACTCTGGCTCAGCGACGCTGACGCGCCAAAGCAAACAGCAGCAGCAGCAGCAGCAACAGCAACAGCAACAGCAGCAGCAGCAACAGCAGAGTCTAAGCGCCTTGGCTAAGGTCTCCAGCAGCATTGAGTTAGCATTTCATGGCTACAACAACAACAACAACAACAGCATCGAAAGAGATCGCTGCATTAATGCAGTTATTGTAAGTCGTGTATACCCCATTTGCCATCAGCCATTTGCAATGCCCAGCTAGAGTTTTTAGATCTATCTCATAAATATATGTAGAGTATATTACCTAACTCTCTCTCTCTCTCTCTCTCTCTGTTTCTCTCTTTACTCTTTAGGAACTCTTTCAGCAACTGCAAACGAGCTCAGAGCCCGCTCTGTGTCCGGAACCGTTGCGTCGCGCCTTGGCCAGCGGCCCACTGGCTGGTCGCAGATTTCCGCTGGGCTGCCTGGGCGATGCTGCCGAGTGCTTTGAGCTCTTGCTGCATCGCGTCCACTCGCACATCTCGCCCGACGATGGCGACGCGTGCGAGTCAGCGGCCTGCATTGCCCATCGACGCTTCGCCATGCGCGTCATCGAGCAAAGCGTTTGCAAATGCGGCGCCAACTCCGAGCAGCTGCCCTTCACGCAGGTGAGTCGATCGATTACTTGAAGATGTGCTCGGAAAACATGGCTAAAATGCCAAGGGCAAGTCACACTAGAGACTTCATAGACGGGTCAGCTGCTCAGAATCAGTTTGAGCTGAGAATACTTCCACTTGGCGTACGGGAAGAGAAGAATTAGAAGCTCTCTAAACTCCATAGACTAGCAGAACTTCAAGTAGCTAGACCCATTGGACGAAGGGACTTCCAGGAGAGGAGGGAACTGGGTATCTCTATGAAAGCAGCCTGAGCAGTAGATCGATTCAAGCTGATATCACGATCAAATGTAGTAAAAAACAAAAGGAAGTTAGGTTTTCCAATGAGTTTTAACTCATCTCAAAACATATATCATATCTAGCCTATACTTGCTCCCTTTCTTCTGGGGGAAACGCCGCTGCCCTAACCATGTCTCCTTTTAGAGTGGACAAGTAGCATCTCCTGGAGCCCCATTAGTTGCTACCACGTGTCACCCAGGAATCATTTCGAACTAAGAAACTCATACTGAAAGCCCACAGAACGTGGCTCAGTCTGGGTGCAGAAAATAGCTTAAAGAATTCAATAAAGTCTGACTTAATTGTACGCGAGTTCTTTTGTGCAATTGGCGTGGGCTACGGAACACCTGCAATTGCTGCTATGTAAATTGTGAACAGAGCGGGCAGCGAGAGAGGGGAGCCAGAACAGACTGGGGGGAACAGTTAGTTGGTTAAATGGCCAAACGGGTTATGCGGCAAAACATGAACCTGAACGTGAGCCACTCGCTCGACCAGTTTGTGGAACACCCACTAGGAGAGGCAACGCACACAGATCATAGATTGCAAATGTAGTTAACTCTTCTACCCCGAACCCTGCTTACCATAGATCACATTTGCTTGCCATTGACAAGCGCCTTCTCCGACCCCTTAGCCCCTTCTAATACTCCCAAGATCATACGTATTTCAAGTGTAATCCACTCTGCCTCATGGATCACAGAATGCCATTTAAGCTGACTTCCTCAATGCCTCTCCCGCCTCTACCCGCTTTCAATCATAGGCAGCTTAGCTCCCGCTCTTTCTATCATAGATCCACACCTGGAGTAGGAGTACTGTGCCCCTCCCTGTCTGTCATTGTCATTGATTGTATTGTATTCTCACCTGCTACTCTTTGCAGATGGTGCACTATGTCTCCGCCTCGGCGCTGACCTCACAGAAGAGCCTCGCCATGCAGAACCATCAGCAGCTGAGCTTTGGCCAGCTGCTGCGCGCAGCTGGCAACATGGGCGACATACGCGATTGTCCGGTAAGTGTCACAAGCCGTATTCAACAGAAACCGTGGCTAATTGGACTCTCCTCTCGTCTCTCTCTCTCTTTCTCTCTCTCTCACTCTTAGAACTCGTGCGGAGCCAAGATTGGCATTTGCCGTGCTCTGCTCAATCGGCCGGACGTCGTTTCGATTGGCATTGTTTGGGACTCGGAGCGACCGGCTGCCGATCAGGTGCACGCTGTCTTAAAGGCCGTGGGCACTAGCCTGCGCCTCGCCGATGTCTTCCATCAGGTCAGCGAACAGCGCTGGGCCCAGCAGTCGCAGCACGAGCTCGTTGGCATTGTCTCCTACTACGGCAAGCATTACACCACCTTCTTCTTCCACACGAAGCTCAAGGTGTGGGTCTACTTCGACGATGCCAACGTCAAGGAGGTGGGGCCCAGCTGGGAGGGTGTCGTGGACAAGTGCAGCCGCGGCCGCTATCAGCCCCTGCTGCTGCTCTACGCTGTGCCGCAGCCACCCAGCTCGACAGCTGCCAACAACTGCGGCATGGAACGACGCGCTGTCACGCCCAGCCCGGAGAAGCCTAGCCTGGGCAGCACAAGGCGTGCCATAACGCCCACGCCGCTCAACGACTATCAGAACCTAAGCGTCATACAGAAGAACATCTTTCCCGTGCCCCTGGCCGCTGCGCCCGCACTGCCAGCGCTGCCAGCGGGCAGCGACGAGACGGACGCCTACATCAGTCGCAAGACTGTGGAGCACGTCTTGAGCGCTCAATATCAGAACCTAAGCGTCATCCAGGACAAGATCGCCGCCGATAAGGAGGGCGGCTTCCTCAATCGGAAACCCATCGAGGCGATGCTCAGCGCTCAGCTGGCCCGACGCCAGCACTTGCAGCTGCAGCGCAGCCACAGCGCGGAGTCCAGCTCCGGCCATGCCTCCAATGGCAGCTCCCCGCCCAGCGATGGCCTCACCATCCCTGAGCATCTGAATCAGCCAAGGCGTCGCGATTCGGGCAATTGGTCGGGAGATCGAAACAGCGCCAGCTCAGCCAGCTCCACAACTCTCGATAATCCATATCTCTACATGGTTGCGAAGCGAGGCGTCGCTGCTGTGCCTCAGAGTCCAACGCGACATGGCCATGTGCATGGGCTGCCCTACGATGCGGGCTACGATTCGTTCTCGCTGAGCTCCACGGACTCGTATCCGCCCAAGCATGTGCTCAACCCGCAGCTGGCCAAGATACCAGAGACGAACGCACCGAATGCAGCTGCGCACGTGCCACATGTGCCGCACGGGCCACACGGGCCGCACGGACCGGGCCTAGCTCTGTCGGGCGACTGCGAGAAGCTCTGCCACGAAGCGGACCAGCTGCTGGAGAAGTCACGTCTGGTCGAGGAGTCGCACGATCTAGAAACAGCCCTGGTTCTCTGCAATGCTGCGGCGGGCCGGGCAAGAGCTGCCATGGACGCGCCGTACAGCAATCCGCACACGATGACGTTCGCGCGGATGAAGCACAACACGTGTGTGATGCGAGCCAGAAGTCTGCATCGGCGCATACTCATCGAGAAGGGCGCCGAGAGCGAGGCCATGCCCGAGCTGAAGCACATGCGCGAGGGCAGCAACAGCAGCGTCAAGCACATGCGACAGGGCAGCAAAGATCGCACGCTCGAGAAGCTAGAGAAGCTGGAGAAGCTCGAGCAAATGCCGCCAAGCGCCTCGGCAGCGAAGAGCATCGAGATCTATGCGACGCTGCCGAAGCGCAAAAGTCCGCTTAAGGCGCTCGTCAATGCCGGCGGCGATGACAATGCCATCGAGTACGAGCAGCCAGTTAGCCAGGCTAAACCAGAGCGTGAGAGTCGCTCGCTGTTCGGACGACGCGACAAGGACAAGGAGAAGGAGAAGGAGAAGGAAAAGGAGAAGCGCAGTCGCAGCGAGGACCGCAACAAGTTGACGCGCGAATTCTCGCTGACCGAAACGCTGCTGGTGAATGCCAAGGATACGCTGAAGAAGCACAAGGAGGACAAGGACGAGAAGAAGGAGAAGGACAAGAGTGGCAAGAAGCAGCACAAGATACGGCGCAAACTCCTCATGGGCGGGCTCATACGACGCAAGAATCGCTCCATGCCAGACCTAACGGAAGCTGTCGACGATCCCAGCTCCTCTGCTGCGGCAGCAGCTGCTGCCGCTGCGGCCGCAGTCAGTGCGCATGCCACGCCCCTCAGCTCGGTGGACGACAGCGCCGTTGGCCTGCATCTGCATGGCCACGCCTACATGGGCATGAGTGGCTACATCTCCGAGGGACACTTTGACTACCCCAGCAACAGCAACAGCAACAGCAACAGCAACAGCAGCAACATTGCTGCATCTTCCGCTGCTGCTGCTGCCTCTGGCTCCTGCGCTAATCCGAACCTGGAGCGCAGCAAGCTGATGCGCAAGAGCTTCCATGGCAGCGGCAGGCAGCTGACCATGGTGCCCAAGGTAGCGCCGCCGCCGCCCATGCGCACCAGCTCAGCACTAACACAGCAGCAACAGCAACAGCAGCAGCAGCAACAGCAGCAGCAACATTTTCATCACGAGGCAAACTTATCGAATATCTCAGCGATGAGCTCGAATGCCTCGATAAGCGAGGACTCGTGTCAGACAATCATAACGACCTGTGCGCAGGTGCACTCCGAGCAGAGTCCGCTGAAGGATCTGCAGCTGCCGTGCTCCACAGACATGGGCCTGGCCTTGCCGCTGCCCCTGCTGGAGCTGCCGCCGTATCCCAGTCCGCCGCAGTCCGTTTGCCATTCGAGACAGGCGAGCGAAGACTTTCCGCCACCGCCGCCACCTGAGATCGACTTGGAGCCGCTCAACCAGCAGCTGAACCATCTGCACGCCCTGGAGGCAGCCAGCAAACAGCAGCGACAGCAACTGGACTCCATGGAGGGCACCACCAGCATTCTGGCCCAGCTGCAGCAGCGGCAACACTTGCTGAAGCTGCGCAAGGAGCAGGCGACGCCGTTGCCCGATTTGCGTAGCAGAAAGCCAGAGCCAACAGCAGCAGCAGCAGCAGCAGTCGCAGCAGCCGCAGCCGGAGCCGGAGCCTCTCCCAGCAGCGTGCGCGATCTGGCGCACCGCTTCGAACAGACCAGCATTGGAGGAGCGGGAGCAACAGCAGCAACAGCTAGCAGCAACATGCGCTCGTACGCCTCGCAGGAGCTGCTTAGCTCTGTGCGCACGCAGATGAATGGGCTGCCCAATGGCAAGCCAGAGACAGATGAAGTTGACTGCGCACCCATGCCACGCCAGCAAGCCCAGCAGCAGCAACAGCAGCAGCAGCAGCAGCAGCAACAGTTGCTGCTGGCTAAGCCCAAGTACGAGATGTCGCAGTCACAAATTGCCGAGGAAATACGCGAAGTGGAACTGCTCAATTCGATGGTGCAGCAGACGCTCAACCAGAGCAACCTGGCGACGCCGAAGCGCGTGAAGAAGAAGAGCGTCTCGTTTTGTGACCAGGTCATACTCGTAGCAACAGCTGGCAATGAGGAGGACGACGACTTCATACCGAACCCCATTCTGGAGCGAGTCCTGCGCACGGCTCAGCATCCCAATGAGAAGGTGAGCGCGCAGCTCATTCAACAGCAACAGCAGAACATGCTGCGTTTGCAGACGGAGGCACAGCCACGATTGCAGCAGCAGCAACAACAGTTGCAGCAGCAGCAGCAGCAACAGCAGCAACAACAGCTGCAAGCGTCGCCCATGCTGGGCAGACCAGATATGCAGCGCTATGTGCAGCGTCAACAGCAGCTGCTGCAGCAGCAACAGCAACAACAACAGGAGCTGTATCGTCTGCAGCAACAACAGCAGCAGCAGCAGCAGCAGCAATTGCTGCCACGCACCAGCATGAGCGGCTTATCCAATCAGCAACAGCAGCAGCAACAACTGGATATACAATACAGCAGCATGCCGCGACCTTTGCATGCACAGAGCTACTCGATACAAATGCAGAAGCAACAGCTACAACAGCAGCAGCAGCAGCAGCAGCAGCAACAGCAGCAGCAGCAGCTGAACATTGCCTACTTCAGCAATGGCAATGTCGCTGCTGAGCAATCGCTGCCCTCGCCCTATCAGCGCGTGCCACACCCACATGCCTATCAACAGGCCAACTACTATGCAGCACAACAGCAGCAGCAACAACAGCAGCAGCAGCAGCAGCAGCAGCAGCAGCAACAGTTGCTGAATGGTAAGAAAAAGGTAAGCTTTGAGCCAGGCACCAAAGGTGATTTGGATTGCTTGCCCTGTGCGCCGCAGCCGCCACCGCCGCCGCCGCCGACGACTGCGTCGTCGCTGCAGAACGGACTGCCCGAGCCACTCACGAACGGCACGAATCTCAATGGCATCACGGCCATACCCACCCGCGTCTACAACAATGCCATCGTCAAGGCCTCTGCCAAGGCGGTCGAGTGCAATCTGTGCCGCAAGCGACACGTGATCGCGCCCTCGGTCTACTGCACCAACTGCGAGTACTACTTGCAGATGCTCAACCAGCGCAGATGATGCCAAACTGCATCGAAATCGAATGCGAATGCGAATGCGAATGCAACTGCAACTGCAATCAAATGATTGAAATTTGATTCGAATCTGATTTCGAATCTTAGCTGTAAGTGGAAACACGTTATCTCAAGCATTGCTGCCACGCCCCTCCAAATAGCGCCCTAATAGGCTGTTACTGTTAAGGTTTGAGTCGTACACATCGTATACAAATATATATGTTATATATAAAGCTTATAGCCAATCGTAGCTCGTAAGCAGTTGCAACAGCAGATCGAAGCAAGCAGCAGCAGCAGCAGCAATAGCAGCAACTGTTGCATTTGCATTCATGGCTACTGCTGCTGCTGCTACAGCTGACTTTAGTCAGGTTGGCTGCCGCGTGGAGTGTGGCAATAGCAACATCAACAGCAGCAGCAACAGTCCCTTTTATGCCGTCGCATAAGATGTCGCAACTGTTTGCCAGCCACGCCTACACATGTTCCCCCAGCACACACACATATATGACCACTTGCCCATATATCTAACACGCGTCGCTCACAACGAACATCAGCAACATTCAACTAACTCCATCCAGCCTGGCTTCCGCAAATCTCTTGATTTTTTTTTGCTTAATTAATATTTGTAATTGTAATTGTAATTGAATATTTTTTTTTCATCATCTTTAAATTTGTTTAAGTTTTAAGAGTTTTTTATACTTCTTTTTTTTGTGAGAAACTCAGCCGCTGAGCTTCCAGAGCCGCGCAGTTGTCGAACGACTGCTCGGCAGAGTTTTAATATTTGTATCTAATATCGTTTATCGACTAGCTTAAGCACATATTCTTTATGCTACATATATATTTTTTTTATATATTTTTTTTTGTGAAATGCATTTTATAGTACTTAAACTGTTTATACGTACATATATACATTTATTATAACGATTTCTTAAGATTTTTCTTTACAGAAAACACAGAAATGCACAAATGATGCGAGAAAAGAGCAATTAAATGGTAAAAAATATTTTAATAAAAATAAAATAAAAAATAAATCTTTTGTCTGTTTATCTGGGGCATTGAAAGAAAAAGAACAAAAATCAAAACTCTGGCGGAGCAGGAAAAAGCAAATAATAAAAAGAGTGTGGCATACTTTCGGGCTGAGAAAAAGCAATCGTTTATAGCATACTTTCAAGCTGAGCGCATTTTGCTAAAACTTCGCATACTTTCAGGCTGACTCTGAAATGCAGAGACATTGTTTTGTAGCACAGTTTCAGAATAACATAATGGCTCGTACGACTCTATAGTCTCTCTCTCTCTCTCGATTACCCTTAACTAGTTAGTGGACCTATGTTGAGCCAGCCTCTGCAACTATGATTTGCCTTTAATATTTTGTTTTCTCTTCTGCAGTCTATGCAGCCCTCGCGTGTTGCCTATTCGTAGCTGAGAAGAGCTGAAGATGGGCTCACCGGCAACACAGAGGCTGCAGTTTCTCCATTAGGAATCACGACAATTGAGCCAATAGAATAGTAGCAGCTATTGAAGTAAGCCCCACACAGCTTGATAGATAGGCAAGTGCTCATTTTTAGAATTTTATAAGCTAGTTTACACTCGTTCCAGTAGGTGGCTCGTTGTGTTATCTCTTTTACGTATTCCAGAGCCAGTCTTTTCAACATATGAATGCTCCCTCGAAAGCCCTCATTGCAACTTATGCTGATGATGTTGCAATCATCTATAACTCTAAAAGTCCTATTGAGGCAAGTTATGGACTACAGAGGTATCTTGATACTGGAATCTAAAAGTCAACCCGCTAAAAACATTAAACCCTTGCTTCACCTTAAAAAGGCTGCAAATGCATACTCCCCCAATCCAGCTGGTGGGAATAACACTACATCAACCGAATCTTGGAATCACACTGGACAGGCGTCTCACCTTTGGGCCGCACCTCAAAGCTGCGGTGAAAAAATGTCGTCACAGACAGCAACAACTGCGATGGCTCAACAATAAAAAGAGCACCTTGCCGCTGAGATGCAAAAGAGCTGTCTACGCCCAGTGTATCCTACCGATATGGCTCTATGGAGTACAAATCTGGGGAGTTGCTGCCAAATCCAATTACAAGCGGGTTCAGGTTTTGCAGAACCGAGTACAGCGACAGATAACTAACTCTCCATGGTATATACGCGGCTCAATACTCCACAGAGACCTCAAGCTCTTTACTGTCGAAGAGCAGATTGGAAGACACACAAGCAGATACACGGACAGACTGCAACGACACCGAAGCCTACTTGCAAGAGGTCTAATCCCTGCCAGACCCCTAAGACGACTTAAACGGCAAGACTTTGCCAGAACGATGGGATGAATGGTGTAAACTGTCTCCTTTTAATTCCTCATATTGTGACTGGTTTGGCTCTAATTCCATATATATACATGTGTTGTTAAGGTACTACATTTGATTGTACAGGTTCTACACTTTTATAAATATAATAAAAAAAAAAATACTTTAGTGCTCGAACGACAGGCGAAGTCTGCTTGAGTTTGGCACGATTAACGAAAGTTCGAACTCCTGCACCGCAACTATCGATATATAATAATCATATTTATTAGTATCTGAATATAAAGTTGTTTAAGCAAAAGTGACCAAAATCCTCTTGACTTCGGACTCAGCCAGTTTATGCACATCTAATGCCATAACTGAACTTTCGACGTAAAGCAGTTGCCAGATTTCGACTTACCTCTGAAATTTAGTCCCTGCTGATTCCAGCAGTAGCTGTATTGAAATCTGCTGAAAGAAAGTTTTATATTTGGTTTCCCCCAACCACCAATCAAACAGCAATAAATTTGGTTTAAACTGAAACTTTTAATTTTTAATTAAAAAAAAAATAAATAAAAAAAAAAGAAAAAATGTTTAGTAGGAAATATGTATTCTGAGTCGATCCTCAAATAGTTTGAAACAAATTCAGAGTTTTTCGCGAGAATCGGCTCAGACGTATAACATTTCCTTTTTTATACGATTTTTTTTTTTAGCGCCATGGTGAAGGCGCGTATAACGCTTCCACACAAATGCTTTTTTTCCCGGTTTTTTTTTTTTTTTTGTGTTGCTTTTTTCATTATCGATTTATTTTTTCGAACTGCGTAAAACATTTAGCCGAAATTTCTTTTTTTCTTTGTTTCTTTTTTTTCTTTTTTTCGTTTTTCTTTATTTTTTTTATTCTCTCTTTTTCGAACTGAGCGCCAAGCTTTACTTTTTTTCTTTTTTCTTTTTTTTTTTTTTTTTTAATGCTTCGCAAACAGTTCTTAAATATTTTACGCAATTCAATATTTTTTTAATTTTTTTTTATATTTAAGACACGGTTCGCTCAATATCTTCTTTTTTTTTCTAATTACCGACCGAACGATTTGTGAGTGTGAGAAGTGAAGAGGAAGAGGAAAAGGCAGAAGATGATGTTTGTGTGTTCATATTGAAGCGGAATAGTGGCGAATGGGAACGTACGAAACGATAGAGGAGCATGGATAGTAAAATATCAATTACAAAAAACAATATAAAAAACTTTGATTTTAAAACTTAAAATTCGAAATCGAAAAATTGAAAAAGTACTCAAAAATAAATTGTTAAGACAATTAAAATCTTCACTTGGATATGGCAATGCTTCTTAGCTCTCAAATCAGCATTAGATCTGGCAACGGAAATAAATTCAATTGAAATCTCTTTTCCTTATTGCATATTGCCATTTTCATACAGGTGGCAACGCCACTTGAAATTGTCAGCGATCTGACAACGCTTCTTGGCTTGACTTGATATTGATGGGATTAGCTTAGCAATTCCTTTGCTTTTTGCTCTCGTGTACTGGATTGGTGTGGCAACGCCTCTTGGCATTGAATGGCTTGCGAATCGCATTGATCTGGCAACGCCACTTTGTATAGCTTATAGCTCCATCACTTCTTGGTTTCAAAACATCAACGACATGACAACGCCTCTTGGCGTGGAGTTGAGATGAGAGCAGTTTCTAACTTCTTTTTGACTCTTGAATTGATCTGGCAACGCCTGACAGAAGACCCCGAGATCACAGACGCAGAAACAGCTTGACGCACAGCACATGACACTTGGCACTGAAGCAAAGCACTGAAGGATCACAGCATCCAACAGTTCGGCTCAGAAAGAGGCTTTGAGATCGCAACTAGAATCAGAGGAGACGAACATGGAAAGTTATGAACTGAACTAAAAAAAGGAGGAGGAAGGGAATAGAAAACAAAAACTTTGGCTGCCTTGGCTTGGCTCCAAGCTTCGTTTCGACTCATCTGAAAGAATATCAGCATAGAAATAGATTAGTAAAGCTCTCTTTCGCCCTAGGTTTGGGCTGGGTAAGACGCTTCGCTGATCCACTGCGAGAGATTTGAGCGCGCCTTCCGCCTGCGGACCTTGCGAGACTTTCGTCTCCTTTGTGATGTGAGCCACAATCAGGCGTTCTTTAGTTCAGTTAGTTGTTTGGTTGTCGTTCAGTTGGGCAAGCCAATCGCTCGCGACAGGCGTGTCACGAGCAATTGGCTTGCCGTCTTTTCATTTTCCTACTCAGCTTACGCTTGACTTTGGCTCATTTAATTCAATTTTCGTTTGCGCGGCATTCGAAAACACCTGCGTAAACTTTAAAAACTTTCTATTTCCCTATTCTTTTTTATTTATTTTTTTTTATATATTTTTTCTTTTGAGTGCTTTTTATATATATATATATATATATATATATATATATATATATATATATTTTTTTTTATTTTTTTTTATATTTTTTTTTTTTTCATAATTTGCACTTTTATAATTTTTTTTTTTATTTTTATTTTTCTTTTTTTTTTTGTCTAAATCTTTCTATTGCACTAATTGCGGCACACGTCACTCGTATAACGTTTATCATTTGCATATATTATTGTTTTATGGAGTTTCTTTTGTTTATGGCCCATGCTGAGGCAGAGGCAGTGGCTCAAATCCCCAAGAGATCAGCGCAACGCTTGGCGAACGAACGTAGCGAACTCACCTGAAGGCAGTGGTTTAAAGAGCATTTTATATAATTATATATAGTCTATATGATCAGTCAGAGACACTGCTGCAAGCAATATTTAAATTAGATCTGGCATATAGAGTGGGGCTTGTATATACAGAGGGAATGGGTCTATGTACAATGCGAGCGGAAGAGTTAAGGAAAACAGAACAGAAGGACGAATGTTGCGTATCTCAAAGCGAACTCAAATTGTTTTCCAATTAACTATCGATTGCTCATTGCCGATTGTCGATTGACTGCGCCTTGTGCCTAAAGCAGTGACAGAGTCATGATTAAAGCTGCGACTTGAGCCATTCCAGTGACTGCCCGGAGGTCTATCTTTGGGCTCGTTGAGTCGCCTGGTTCATTGCTACTTTTGCGGTTACATCATGATTGAAACAGATTGAGTCTGTACTGTATTTCTCGTCCTCTTGCACTTTGCTTTCCGGTTTTTGGCTCTCTGCCTGCCGAACGACACGGCCTGTGGGAAGATATATCCAGTTTGGTAATATGTATATCACATTGAACTGTTATATTCTGTACCTGATTGATTGATGGGTTATTTCTCTTCGGTTATACATCATCATTGAAGTTGGCTTCTTGTTTTGGGCCTCCCTGTGACTGTTGCCCTGGTGAACTATGCAACGGAACTAGTTCCCGTCGTTGATACATCATGATTGAAGCTAGACTCTCGCCCTACTTTACCTACTGTTGGAGTCGTCGCCCTCTTCTCTGATTCTCTCTACATATGCATATGCCCTTCCTCCTGCTCTGTCTAACGGATAGTGGAGCTAGCGTCTGAACTACTTCCACTCACTACACTGATTGAAAGAACTTGCTGCTACCCTATGTGTCTCTGCCTTTCTCCCTCTATCTCCAGCTTCTGCCGCTCTGCCTCGTGACAGTCAGACCCAGCGACACGGCCTGAGCTGAAAAGTTAAAAGTCAGACACAAACGGACCAGTCTTCGACTAGGCAGATATGTAGAACATCTTGCCACACAATATACAGATATATATATGAATGCCAACAGAATGAGGGTTTGATGAACGATTGGAATGGGTGAATACGATGACATTTCTAGTTTTATAACGATTTGTGATGTGATCGAATAGCTCGGTTAGTGGCAAGTGGCTGCCCTGGGATTGATAGATTTCACAGTTAGACTGTTATATTGGCGTATAACACTTATTCGAGTGCTTCAGGCTTTAGGCAAGCGCCTGCCATGAGCTCGAGGCGGCGAGCGGCATCTATCGAGTCTGTTGTGGGCGAGGCGTTGGTGTGTGTGCGCCTGCGCTTGCATGTGCGTGTGTGTGGGCGTACGAAGGGTGGGCTGGCGGACAGGGGCTACTTGACCCATTAGTGATAACTGTTATACACATGCAATTCTCGTAGTTGATGTGGCTTCTGTCGCCATCTGGTTTATGCGCTCTAATCGGTGTGCTTTGCCTTGGCAGTGCGCGGCCGAGAGGAAGGCGCCGTCAACCATTTGCCGAGCGAGATAAACATACGTGTACTCTGTGTGCGTGTGTGTGCTGTGATGTGAGAGAGAGAGAGAGCGCCTCTCCTGCCGAGCTGTTCGCTCGCATGCAATAGGGTAGGTTCGCACGACATGTCGTTTCGCTCGCATCCATGTGATGCCGCGCACACTCGCGATAGAAGTATGTGGTTACGCTTCGTCTCGTATCTCGTGTGTGCGGCATCAAACGGATGCCGTTCGTGTGTCACTGTCTTGTTCTGTTCCATATGCTCAGCTCGCTCTGCAAAGCTCACGCTCTCTCCCCCTCTCGTTAAGTTCTCTTTCTCCCTTCAGCCGGCCGCAAGCGCAGGGCAAAGCTTGATTGATCCAAGTAGAAATTACATTGCTAACCCGCCGCCATCTCCACGCCTCGGCAACAGCAGCAACAGCAGCAGCAGCAGCAGCAGTTGCTACACACCTCAGCTCAGCTCACCTGCTTCCTGGCTTCGGGGAGCTCGTCTCCTAGGAGTAGCTGCCCCCTGCCGTGGCGCCACAAAGCTGTATAGATACACGCTCACTCACCCGCTCGCACATGACCTGCGCTTTCGTATTGAACTTAAGCTGCTTCGCTCCTTTATCGAGTTGATGCGCGATTCGTGTCTGAGTTATGGCTGGCTCTGTCTCTCTCGCTTATCATATATCAATATTGCAATTTGGCACTTGGTACAGTTGGCACTCGAAAATATTAGCACTTGAAAAAAAATGAAAAAAAAACTAAAGGAATCTTTGCAGCTTCGCCTGACCGTGTCGCTGGTTCTAGAGCTCGCGCTCGACTGTGCTCATTGCTGCTGCTCGAGCGACGAGGCAAGCTCGCCAGCTAGTCTATGTAGTCGAGTTCAGGTAGTCCAGGTCCAGTTCAGGTAGTCAAGTTCCGTTAGTGTCAGTCCCAGTCCTAATGAGGGTTTCTTTTTTCTAATGCAGCTGCCTGGCTATTTGGCTGTCTGTCTGTCCGTCCGTCTAGCTGCCTGCCTTGCCTTGCCTTGTCTTGATTGTCTGTCTTTTGTCAGAGTCCTGTCTTTGCTTTCCTTTTGTCCTTGGCTGCAGCTGCACTTCCTGATTTCTTATTATTTTTTTCCCAGAATATTTACAGTTTTAGTCCGCTTCAAACTTCCTTCAACTATTTTCACTCAGGTAGAGACACAAACTGTTCAACTGTTCAACTGTTCGACTGTTCAATCAATGCTCGTTCGTCTCACTGCAACTACTCGGCCTTGCTGCTGGCAATGCCTTTTCGCTGGCTTTGCGGATGGCAATGCCTTCGCCCATTCCCGTCCTGCAGAAATCCTTGACCCAGGCACTTTTCTCTATGCAAATTTCAATTTCACTCAATAAATTTGATTGAATCCAGTTGCGTTGCTGCTTTGACGTCGTCTGCGAGTGCGAAAAGCAATTGCTGCGCTTTGGTCCGCAATGGAGATGCCACTTGCTGTGGCACACACTCAAGACAGCACGCGAAGTTGGGCAACGCCGCGAGCTGTCAAGACCAGTTCAATTTGCTAATAGCTTCTTGCTAAAAGTTCATATTCCTCATATAATTTCAATTTCCATTTCAATTTGCATCGCTTTTAGTCTCAATTTTGATTTTCGCCGAGGCCAATGATCGAACGCGCATTGCACACTAAACACAGCACGCGCAGCTGCCAATTGCAACCAGGTGGCAACGTTGCAGCACGACTCACGCGCAGCCCTGGTTGTGCTGAAGCGAAAATATGTTTAAAGTTCAAAATGTTTGAAATAGAGTACAAAATATAAGCCGTAAAAAATAAAAAATTATAAAAATAAGATGAATAGAAAAAGAAATTAAAAAAATATGTAAATGAAGTCAAAAAATAAAAAATAAAATAAAAGAAAATATAATCCTAAAATAATAATAAATAATTGCTTAAAAAACAAATAAAAAAACATCTCAATAAAAAAGACTAAATATTAATAACAAATTTAAAAAATACTTGCAATATTAATAAAAGCAAAATAAAGCAGAATAAATTATATGATAAAATAACAATGTTTATAAATTATATAAGCAATAATAAAATAAAATAAAATAATAATAAAATAATAAAAAAAAGGAAAAAAAGATATACATATATATATTTAAATATATAAATATATATTTAAATTTATATATAATAAAGACGTTATAATCATTCAAGTTAAATTTAAACAAGTAAAAGCATAATTCAAATAAATTGTATCAACAATAATAAAAAAAACCAAATATTTAAACGATTTTTATACATGTATTTGATAAAAAATAAGCAATAAAAATATATGAATAAAAGGTAAACAAACAAAATAAGAACATTGCAGTCGAGCATGCCCGACTGCTTGCTACTCGTTCACGGGCCTCAGCACTCAGTGTAGTCTTGACCCGCAAGATTTGCCACGCCCCGAAGAGCTAGGTTTGGTCTTGCCGGATAGTCGGATAACGGACGGACGGACGGATACCGCATGAAGCCAATAGACACGCCTTGCAGCTCATGAACAAGCATAAAATTTGCATTACAAAGAATTGACCTAAAATTTGTTAAATAAATTACAAAAACAAATAAAAAACATAAAAATAAATATGTAAAAAACTTGTAAAAAAAATACTAAAAGGATTATTCGATGATCAACGATAACAGATATATATGGATATATATGTATATAGAGCTACATAGATGTATGTATAGAAATGCATAAAGCTATATGAACTTATAGATCTACATATATATATATATTTATATATATAAATATAAATATAGAGCTATATATACGGCTCGATCATGGCTAGTAGTTCACATAGATATATATCTATAAATATATATATATGCATAGATACATAGGCACATATAGACACAACTATATAGATCCACATATATACAGATATAGACACTCGATAGATTATAGATCGCAGCCATATAGTTACATAGACATCTATGCACATATATAACTAGCATAGTCGATCCGATCACAGATCGTACGCATAATTCCGATAGCTGCCCTGCCCAGCATCCTCTCGTCTTATTGTCTGTGGGTCTGCGCCCTGCTTTTCCTGAGATTCCTTGTTCGCTGCCTCAGTACTCGCCAGATCCGTGTATTTGTAGTTGCGCGCGAGAAAGAGGAAGATCAACAGATTGACCAGCATGATGCTGGCGAAGAGCGCAAACTCCGCCGATTGGGTGCTAACGAACTTGACCTCAGCTATGATCACCACGATCATGTTGCCAATGGCCACGGAGAGCAGCCAACAGGCCTGCAGCACCGATTTCATGCTGGTCGGTGCCTGGGTAAAAGAGAACTCCAGACCCGTCACCGAGAACATTATCTCAGCGGCTGTCATAATCACAATCTGCGGCAGCTGCCAGAGTATCGAGAGCGTTGTCGGTGGCACCACCTCCAACATGTTGTATTCCTACAGATGAGATACCAGAAACAATTACAGCATGCTACAAGTGGAGGGTAAAGATCAGAGATCAGAGAGCAGAGAGCAAGAAGGTAGATGATAATCGGAGATCCTTAGTTAGAAATGAAAAAGATTCAGTTGCTCAACTACTCATTGAACTGATCCGTCGAAAATGAACTAGTTCCACGTGCGTTCACTTACATATCCGTCGCGTGCATTGCCCTGAACCAGGAGGCTGTAGAGTCCTCCGTTCTTCGCATCGAAGCTTGCAGCTCGTTTGCCATTGATGTCGAGCTCTCCGTAGCCGAGCGAAACTTCATGCAGCGCTGAGAGATTCTTGATGTCCAGCTGGACGCTGCCGCTGCCCGAGACGGGAGCTCTCAGCAGAATGGGTCCCTCGTCCGGAGGCGTGTTGACCAAAGTGCGCAGCAGAGGAGGCCGATTGAAGCGCTGCACAGTGCTCAAGCCGTCGGGAAACTCCTGGAGACCCGCCTTGGATAGGAAATAGCTGACGGACTTGCCCGGCTGTAGGTGTAGACGTCCTTCAATAGTCGGACATTGCTTTTTCGACGACTTGGCCTGGAAGGCGAACTCTTTGGCCCGCGGCACACGGAGCTCCAAATTGGACCACATGGACAGCGAATCGATGGAGTCGGCAACTGCATCGTGGTCACTTATGAAATCGTAGCGACACGGCATCCCATTGTAGAGCCGCAGATGAACCATGTCGGGGGCCGAGGGCTCAGCCTCCGGTTGCAGTTGCTCGAGTTTCAGCTCCACGCCCGCCGACACATAGAAGCCGAGGGCGGCGAGCAGCAGACCAATGCTGAGCTTCTGCAGCGGACGCCTGATGCCGATGCGTGCAAGCAAAGGGTAGATGGCGTAGTCGAATAGTGGAATGAAGGCGAGAATGAGCAGAGGATTGATCACCTGCATTTGATCCGGCTTGACTTGATAGCCAAGCACCGATCCATCCATATGGGTGGCCTGGAAGGTCCAGCGCGAGCCCTGCTGATCTGAGAGAGCCCAGAAGACAGGAAAGGGCACGTAGAGCAGCAAGATCTTGGCCAAGCACTTCGTCTCGTACACCATCTGCTGCCCCACAACGGGCGTGGCATAGTCGAGAAAGTGTTCCATGGGCTTCTCCTTACGGTTCTGCCGCCAGCCCTTGTACGCGTTCGTTATGCACTGGGAGACGCCGAAGATCATGTTGCCCGATGGCGGCTGCACCTTGTAGAGCGATCTGCCGGCCACAAAGATAACCATCGAAACGAGCATCAGGACAGCAGGCACGCCAAACGCCAACGAGTAGCAGTCCTCGTCCCCGAAACATTGAACATCTGCACGCAGAACCGGAGTTAGCGTCGTCGAGATCATGGAGCCCGCATTGATCGCAAAGTAGAACAGCGAGAAGAACTTGGCCAGCTCAATGGCCTGCTCTGGCAGCTGAAACTGATCCCCGCCGAAGGCCGAGACGCAGGGCTTGATGCCGCCAGTGCCCACAGCAATCAGCACAAGACCCACAATGGTGACCATCCTGGAAAAAGCGTTTCATTAATATCTTGATTGATAGCGGGCGACCAGGAGTACCTGAACAGTGCAAATACTCACTTGACCGGCATGTCCGGCATAGGTATTGCGCCAAAGGCGACAGTCATAGCACCGATGCTGTAAACGACCGATAGATACAATATCGTCTTGTACTTGCCCAGCCAGCCATCCGCAATGAGAGCTCCGATGAGCGGAAAGATGTAAACGAGCGTCGTGAATATGTGAAAGAGCACTGTGGCCGTCTCCTCGTTGTAGTCCAGCTTATGGGTTAGATATAGGACCAGTATAGCTGAGCGAGGGCGAGAGAGAGAGAGAGAGAAAGAGAAGGTATAGAGAGGACATCCAACCATCGGGAAGTTCCACTTACCACGCATGCCGTAATAGTTGAAGCGCTCGCAGAACTCATTGCTAATGATGAAGGCCACCGATTTGGGGTATTCCAGAGTCTAGAAGATGAGAAGAGACGTTAGCCGACGTAGTCAAGTGGCGGCCTTAGACAGTGACAGTGACTTGTATTATAAACTATAGGATCTATCATTATCGCCTGTCTCATTATCTTCCACACTCGGCAAATCAAATGAGAAAAGTGCTGCATCATAAAACGCTGACTGGCCAAATTCCCATCAATTGCGATAGCCGACTAAATAGTTGTCTATATATAAATATCTATGAGTATATAAATATATATGTGCGTCTGTGTGCGTGTGTGGGTATCTAGCTAAAAGATAGGCCTTGTTTACGTCTGCCAAGTCTGTCATTTTAAGGGCACTCAAGCGTAATCTCGTCTCATTATGAGTGCTACGTCAGATAATGTTCATATATTTATATACCCATATATATATATGAATAGTAATTGGAATTTATTTTTATGTTAAGGTGCCTAAGACTTGTCTTCATTCCATGAGATAGAGGGTATCGCCTAGTCGAGCTCTCAAGAGCGTGAAGAAGGGAGATAGAGAGGGAAAGACCTGTCCCGGAAGAGAGCTCCTTAAGAAGTAACGATTTGTGAATTCTTGTGCAAAGTACTTAATACAGGGTATTCTAATGTCGATTTGGATCTAAGACATAAATCTAGTGGATAAGTCTTTCCAGGCAGGTTGGTGCTTGAGTCAAGAGAAAGAGGTAAGCAAGGCAAAGCACAGAATACAGGGTGTCGCCTAGTCGAGCAATAGGTTCCCGTAAACATATATAGATAAACAGGTAATTATGTATTCGCATGATAGTAAGACTGACCTATTGCGCTAATATAAATGTGTCTCTTCTCCCTCTCTCTCTCAACCTCTTTCCATCGCTGCCTCTCGGACTTTTGTGTATTTGATTTCGCTTTCGATTCGTTTTGTGTTTTGTTTTGGTTTCTATCTGCATTTGCTATTAGTCAAGGTGAACCGGCAAACGGGTTTGAGCCACCTGCTTTGAGTAGTGGGACGAAACGTGAATCGAATTTCAAATTCTGCTCTCGCAATAGCTAAAAGCATTAAAATAAACAGTTAAAGCCAAAGTCAAGTACAGCGAACCATTGATAAAGCTGTCTACAGATCACGGGTTCGACAGGGTTCTACTGTGAACCACATCGATTTGTCGTCAATTACTGAAAGATCTGCTCCAAAGTTCCGACTGCATTTTACAGGGTATTCTCAGGGAGTTCGCAGTATTCAGAGATAAAACTAGTATATAGCGTGGGTTGGACACCGTTTGACAGGGTATTTTGTTTTGATTATGTAATGCTCTCAACTGCTGTATCTATAGATCTATAGATCTATAGATCTATAGTTCTCACTATTGCTGCTTCACAGACACGCAAACATAGAGAATTCTATAATTGACATTGGAAAATGCATAAATATACTTGTGTAGAGATAAGTGTTCAGTTGTAAATATATGTATATACATTTGTATGAATCAACATCGAAATATCAGCCAAGCATGTTGTAAGAGCTTCTCGGAATTTCGCAGCTCTATTGCGCACTGTTGATCTACAGATAATACAGCCCTTTGCTCAATCTCTCTCTCTCTCTCTCTCTCTCTCTCTTCCTTCCTCTCTCTCTATCCCTTCCTAACGCTCTCCTCTGGCTGCTTGTCTCCAGAAGAAACAAGTGTAAAGTGCAATAACTGAGTGTTCCTTTCCTTTCAACCTATTTGTTTCAACAAATAAAAAAGCTTCTGTGTAGTTTAAATGTTACCCCGTGGTAATATCTATAGGTGCATATACTTATTGTCGCTCATCAGTCTGTCAATCAATCGGCAATCAAAACGACTCTCGATCATTCAATAAATCATATGGTTCACAATAGGTACTGATATATTGAAGCCATCTCATTGTATCTTAGACTAGTCAGCCAGGCGAGGCGACGATGTTGATCAATCGATCAATCAGCGCGACTGAACATCATTGATATGCAAGCAGTACAATACCAGCATTGCATAGGTCTTTATCGCAGTGATCGTCCAGTCTATGGGGATGGCTGAAGGTAGTCTCTCGCTGTCGGGGCGTTTATAAGAAACGTTCGAAACGTGCGATTGTCGATTATGTGACGTCACATTCTCACGGCACTTTTCAGATTAGTCGCTAATTATACCAGGCAAAATGCAATGCAATATACAATTTATAATATGTATGCCAGCTGTTTTCTGGTTTTAATTGTGGGATCGAAAGCAACTAATTGCAGGCCCGTCCAGGCGCATCAATAATTATATATATCTTTCCCTCTCGCGCTATATATATATATATATATATATATATATATATATAGCAATCCAGTTTGTTTAGATACCTATAGAGTTGAATGGGTTGTTCAACTCGTTGGGTCGTTCACAGCAGTTGGGAAAAAAAGTAGGTCGACGGCATCGGAAGACGGGTGGACCACATGTTCATAACTAAATACATACATTTATATATATATTGTTTTGATTCTATTTCGATTTCGCTTTCGCGTGATTCATTTAATCAATTTGCGAACAATAAAAGGATGATTGCCACACTCTAAATAAGCTATATGAATATATATATGAGCATCCAAGGTCAGTTTTTAATAGAGAATTGGGTCAATGCGAGAGATCCTCTAATAAAATGATATTCTTGACCAACATCAACAGAAGAGAGAAACAAAGAGAGAGAGACAGAGATCACGTGTCAGAGTTGGGCTTAAATAACGTAACGTAGATTATACAGATTATATGAACACTAACACTAGAGTCGTCTTCTATATTCTGTTGTTATACGCGACTGTTATACTCGCTTATAACATTCTACTATTATATTATTCTGCAAAATTCTTCTGTATCATTGGGTATAGCTTCGAAGTCTTCTATATTCCTTTTGTTATACTCTTCTGTTATATTATTCTCAAATATTTTTCTGTTCTGTTCTATGTTCATCAAATATATTTAACTGTTCATTTCAATATTATATGAAACTCTTCTATATACTTTGTTATATTATTTTACATTATATTCATAATTCTGTCATATTCTGTTACTGCATCTGTTATATTAAACTGTTTTATGAACTGGTTCACTAGTTTCAATATCATATAGCAAAACGATTTTATGTTACTATCAACAAATATATTTCTTGATTATGCTCTTAATGTACATATCAGCGACGTCTTATCAAAGAGATAGCTGCACAATTAACGAAAGGGAAAGAGAATATAATCATATTGGCTATTTATACACACATTCATACATACATACATATATAAAATACTTATAGATAACTGTTCTTACTTCAGCTATGTGTGTTAAGCTGCACTAACTGTAACAGGGCATAGCTGTACGACAACTTTGCCTGCGCTGCAACTTAAATGCGCATACATACATACATACATATAGACATGCATACATGTGTGTGTCAGTGTGTCTCTGCACGCCTATAGCCAAAAGTTGCGCACAATCTCTGCTAACTAACATGTGTATGTTCACATTTGTAAGTACATATATAGGTCTGAGTGTGTGTGCGTGTATGTGCCTGCATTGCATGTATGTGTGAGTATGTATGTACTTTCTCAAATGACAGCTGAAAGTGACAATGAGTTGAACTCTGCGCAGACGCAAACGCAGATGTCGCAGTCGCAGTCGACGCAGCTGTTGATGCTGTCGTCTTTGACTGATTTCTTTTCATTTCAAGTTTAGGGCTCGCTGACCATAAATGTGCTCATATGTTTGTGTGTGCATGTGTGTCTGCTTGGCAATTAGGCAGGTATTTTTACTTACAGATACATACATATGTATGTTTGTGCAATCGAGCGCCATAATTGTCCAGTAAATCGTTTAACGCAACGGTACATTAAGCTCACCTCATGCTCTTTCTCTCCCTCTTGCTGCCTCTCACTAATTGCCAACTCCTTTGATTTGCCATTGGCAGCTGCCTCTGCCGCTTCAACGTCCGCCGCTTTCATTATTTGTTGTTGCGGCAGTAAACAGTACACACAATAAAACGCACACACATAAAACGAACAAAAGGCTCAGCTCAAGTTCAATTTACGGCTTGGAATTTAATCAACTGCCGAAAAACGCACGCGCGAACTTGCAATATTTTTTAGCAGGTGCTGGCAACGGGCGAAGCGCAGTCACGTTTGCGCACAAAATAAAAAACGAAAAAGCTAAATGAAAGACAGAGACACAAAAAAGACACCAACGCAGACGGCGAAGTCACTGTGAGGGCGAATACACTTAAATAAAGCGCAAATCAAATGTAAGCTGCGCTTTTATGCGATAATTCGGTAGACACCGTAACCCAAAAAAAAAAAAAAACAAGAAAAAAATACAGCCAGAATAAGCGTCAAATGAGAATTGAAAATAAACAGCATGCAAAGCGGTTGGGCGGGGGTAATAGGCACGACAGCTACGTCGCAGCGCCAATTAACTAAGACCAAGCTTTACTCTCGCGTTCGCGCTCACTCTCCCGCTCTTTGGTTAGTTTGGCTGGCTGCTTAGTGCAGCGAGGCGCAGCTTGACGTCGCCGTCAAGCAGTGCAGTCGCCGTTAGCGCATTGGCGTCGACTTCTTTATTCCTCTCAAGTTCAATGCTTATAACTGTTAAATATGAATGCACACTACATAAGCAAATGTGTACTAATCTGTGCTTTTTCCTTACTTCTGCCGTAGCTGTAGGGCAGATAGCAAGTATGCAGAAAATGACGAAAATGCGATACAAGAAATAACTCAGCTACAAAGACTTTTGGATGCTCTTATGGACATAGTATGTACGTATGTATGTATGTTATGTCAACGTTGAACATGAACACAGCATATTAATAATCATAAATATATAGCATATACATATATATATTTGTCAGCTCTTACCTTTGTCTCTGACGTCTTCCTACTCTCTGTGTTATCCGAATCATTTGTGTCGAACTCCGTTTCATAGTATCGACTGCGAGCGCTGAGAATACCGGAGATACCCTCGACGCCGCCGTAAATTCGCAATGCAGCTAAAGAGAGCGAACGAGTAAGAGAGTGACATAGAGTGAGATTGAGAAAATAAAATTAGTCCACTTACTCACTTCGCTATCCGAATCATTGTAAAAATCAGAGCTTTCGCTCAACGGCGAACTAAAATTCAAATTCTCTTCCAACTTTCGAAACATTAAAAACATAAACACTACATATACATTTGAAACACTTGGCAGGAGAGTACAAGTTGCCTGAGAGCAAAATCCTCTCTCTCGCTGTCTCAGAAATCCTTAGTGCTGGCAGGGAAATTTGAGGAAATTCGCTTAATTCGGGTAAATGAACTCTATTGAAATTACCCTTTACTCCCTAATCGGGTTAAAGTGAAACTTAGGGAAATTCCCATTTGTGTATTATTTATGGCTCTTGGACCTGTTTACCTTTAAGCTAATCTAAAAAAACATTTCGCTTTCGATCTAATCAGCCAAAGTTGTTTAGCTTGTCAGCTGACTGCGCAGCTCTTCAAGTGGAGGGCCTATAAAGTTAGCAACTATAATTGGGATATTATTCATAATATATCATCTATATATATAAGTTTATATATAGGTCTAATCAGAGATTAGCTTTGTTTCCACTTCGAACAAAGAAAGATTTGTATACTCGCTATTGCTAAATTGATACTTCTATATAAATCGATATTTAGACCGAGCATGATGTAAGCTCCATTCGGTTATAGTCGAGACATTGCTTAACGCCTCTACTTATACGCACTGTTATGCATATATATATTATCGGGTATTCGAGGCTATAAAGTTTGCTTATAACATCATAAAAACTTGTTACTCAATCCATTCATAATGCGACTATATATATGTTCATATGTATATATAGATATATGTGTTCCTGAAGTTCATAAATCGTCTAACTAATAACAACCAATAATTCCGTCCTACACAGTAATGTTTACGATACATATATATATCGGTATATGTATGACTTATTATATGGTTAATCGTAAATATGTACCTGGCACAGTTATCCCCATATCACTTATCAGTTATCAATTATCAGACATCAGCCATCAGCTATAAAGCCTAATCTATCGCTTATCGTTTATCGCTTATCGCTTATCGGCGGAACGATTAAGCATATAAAACAATGTGGCTCCGAATTGCGCCAAGTCAGCTATATCTATAGATTAGGGCTTTTGCTTGGGAACAGCTTTGGATGCGTATCGTAAAGCTACGAATATAGAAAAACGATTATACTTATAGAGTCGAGTATTACGCGTGATATGAGATTATGGCTTTTAGTAATCGGTTAAGCGATTAATCAAACCGATAACAAAACAGACTAAGAAAAGCGCAACTAAATAGATATGAATATTTCCCCAAATCTTTAGAAAGCCAACTGGCAACTTAGCCGCCTACAGAATACTCTCTCCCACTCCAAGATACAATTCAATTTATCGATAATTCTTATTGAGCTGCATACAATTAAAATTGGCATTGTAGGCCCAACTCCAAAACTTCTCGTTCCTCAATCTAAACTTGTGGAAGTTGTTAGTTTCTATGCCTCAAATGGAGGGTCTATGACTGGAGAAAAGCGGCTAATATAATTTCATTGCAGTCTGTGGACGAGTTTTGCATAGCAAAGCGCTGACTAGGCCAATAACTATACAGAAACTACTCAGATATATGTAGCCAGGTAGAAAGCAGGTATGCAGCCAGGTGGTAACGGAAAAGTATCTTATAGATACGCCTAAACTCTCGACATGTTACCTAACCAGACGACGCGCAGATAAGAAATGAATTGACAGAAATAAACAAAAGAAGCAAAATGCTTAATTAATGTTTGTCAGATAAGGCTCTCTGGCTGTACGAACATTCAGATACAGCTATATACACTCTCTATATATAAATACCTATACTCCATGCAGATCGCTTGAATCAGTAACAGATTTAGGCGAAGGACACGCGCGCGCGCGCTTTCATTCTGCTCGTAAATACTTCACCTACGCCGATAAGCCAATAAGTCGATAAGCTGATAAGCCGATAAGCGACTAGCTAACGGTTTACTGCAGCGACGAAGACTGCGACGCCTGTGCTTTGCGCCTGGGCAAGTGCGCCGTCGCAGTTGGCGTCGAAATCCAATTGATTGCCCATTACTTCGGCTTCGCCTTCGTTTTTGCTTCGCAGGACAAACGAATAGTCGCAGTCGGTTTGCCGCCACTCGAAGTCGAAATCGAACTCAAAGTCGACGCATGCAGTCGCAGTCGCCACTATTGGTGTGCTCCAAGGCAGGACGAAGTGGTCGGGGTCGAAGTCGCCGTCATCACTCCCAACCGAAGTTGAAATCGAATTGCCGATGCTTTCGACTTCATCTTCGGTAACATAGGCGCAGTCGCTGTCGCGGTCGCACTCGTACTTGCAGTCTCAGTCGCTGTCGCTGTCGCCGTCGCTGCTCTAAGTCAGAGTCGAACTCGAATTGGTTTGGCGACGCTGACGCCAACGCCAATGGCAATGTCGATGCCGCTGCCGCTGCCGCTGCCGGCAGTGACGCCGACGGCTTCTTTAGTTGACTTACGCGCATCGGACATCAGTCAGTCAGTCGAATGCCGTTGGTGGACTAAGACGCGCATTGAATGTACGCGTTTCCATCGTATTTTGTTTCCACTGCGCGTTCTCACTGTTTAACTACGTTTTTACTGTTGTCGTTTTTTTTGTTGTTGTTAAATGTTAATGACGTGAGTTTTACCTGTTGCGAATATATTTCTGAATCGTGGAGCACAAGCAAATTCATTGACTTTTTGTTTACATTTTGAATTCTGTTTAAATTTTTTTTTTTTTATTTTGTATTTTTATTACTTTTTTTGTGTCTCTGAACTTAACGTGTGAATTAAAATAATAAAATATAAAAAATATTGAAAGCTCGTTTCGGAATTATGTATTTCAGATTTTAAGTGTTCTCGCTTTTTTTCCTGTATTTTTATGAAATCGTTTCTGATTTCTCTTCTCTCTTTTTGGTTTCAAGTGCCGCATAACGGATGTAAAGTGATAACAACCCTACAGCGAGATGACGGATATTGAAAATGGTACTTTATTTATATTTTTCTATTATACACACAGATATATACAGATAAGACGTCTCCACTATAAATCACTAGAGGGTTTCCCTAACTACAGACTAAAACTAAATTCATTAGGCACTCCAGAAACGATTTTGGGTGCTTATCACATATAGAATTAGACTCTAGCATAAATCTAAAGAGTGTTCTATCAAAGGGTTACCAAATGGTGCTATTGTCGGGCATGCGCGGCTAGAGGATACCCAGCTGAGATACCATTTGAGGTACAAGTTCAGACAGAGCTTAAGTGCGACCTCGCAATGTGCCCAGAACACCACTAATTGGGTAGTATTATGGGAAAGTATCCATAGTATCCGAGCTAATTATATCTGAAACACACACTAGCAGAAGCACTTCCAGTTCGATGTCGCTGACTTAAAAGATCTTCAAGAAACAAGTCGATACACTGGGATCTATCGATATTTATCGATATTCACCAATTCGAAGAGTTTTTCTTTTCAAGCTATAGCAGTATCCATGGTTTGATGGACTCGTCTTTTGATCCTGATTCAGAATATATATGCCTTATGGGCATGGCCACGCCTCCACGCGCATTTGCTCAAAGCCAATATACACTCTTGTTGGGCAAACTACAATTTAACAATTTATTGCCTAACTTTTTGGCTTGTATACGATCTATATATATATAACTGCGAGCTCTGTTCCTATTCGATTTGTTGTCAACTTACGACTTTAAGTATTACTTCAATAAATAATCTCTACACATGTCCAGATACGAACATAGATAAGCTTATCTCCCATAATAGGCGATTATGCATTAGTTCTTCGGCTCTTCAATTCTTCCAAGAATTCTTGATAAAGGCGCGTGTGCCAAATCCTAGTTGAGCCAATCTTATCGAGCCAATAAACTGTTTATTGTTCGTTCGTCACAGCGCGGCTTCACAGTACTCTTGTAAGAGTATGTAAATATGCATATAAATATACATCAATCAATGGTGATTGATGCTTGCAACTTACTTGCTACGGCTTCTTCAATCTTCAGTCAAGACTGACGCTGCTCTAAACTAGATTTAACTAAACTAACTAAAGCTTGTTGGCATATATATACCTCGTCAATCAGTCAATCAGTCAATCAGTCATAATTGATGCGCTTTCATTTACTTTTTCGCAGTGTACATGAGTACGAGACTTGTATCAACTGCCCTGCGAATATGTGAATCAAGCATGATTGTCGGAGCTTGCCAGCTTCAATCATGATCAATCAAGGGCTTTCATCTAAATTGGAAATTTCAAACATTCGTTCTATATTTTAAATATGCTTTGTAGTATCAACATCAATCAATCAAGCATGATTGAAGCTGCACTCAACTTGCATTCGCATTCGGAATTTGATGCCATTTCGCTCACTGCAAAGCTAAGGCTAGAGCTACAGCTAAGGCGCTTTTCTATTTCCTACTATGAGTAATGTAAAGAAAACGTTTCATATAAAGCATGAGATGTGCAGCTCGCTTTAGTCAGACTTCGACAAGATTTAATTAGCCGCATGACTAATTGGCTGCTATCCAAGTTGACGGACTCTGCAGCTGGGGCGAGCGGGTGCTGTTGGAGTCGCAGTCAGAGGCAATTGTTTTAAACTACCTGTCGATAGCTAACTGCGGTTTTTGGCACCAATTGGTTAACGCAATTGAGTGAATGTTGCCAACATTGTTAATAAGCCAAGTCTTGGGAAACCCAGTAACAAGTCAATCAGGGCGGCATGTTTTCCGAATATCTATGAGATACGAATAGCTCGCAAGGTGAGGGGTGATGGGGAGGGGATAAGAGGGGAGAGTGAAAGAAAAAGAATCAAAGTTTAGAGAAGAGAAGATAACAAGAGGAAAGGAAAAACAAATGAAGAAGAGACGCCAAGTAAGAGAGAACTAAGATATGTAGAAGGGTATAGAAGAAGAAGAGGCGAAGATAACTAACGAAGAAGAAGAAGAATAAGAGAAGAAGGTAATAGAAGAAGATTAAGCAGAAAAGAAGACATACAAAGAAGAGAAAACGAAACAAAACAGAAGAAGCAGACGAAAAACAGGAGAAGGCAACGAGAGATAGAAGAGGAGGCGACAAATGAAAGCAGCGAGAACAAGGACAAGAAGAAGCAGAGAGCAACATGTGAGTCGGACTCGTGGGAAAGTACAGGAACGAAATGATATCGTCTCTGGCAGTCTCGCCCTGGCCATGGGCTGTCGTAGGGCCCATAAATGTGGGCCACATTGAACAAAGGCTTATCAGTGAGAGGTGGGCTTAATCGCTTGTAAATCAGTTTGGCGCTGTGCACAAAGCACACACGATTCGATAGCTGATAGCCGATAGCTCGAGGGCAGCTGTAAAGGTAAAGGTGATAAGCCAAATCGAATCTATATGGAGCTGTTTCCCTCAATTTACAACTCGCGACTCGCGACTTTATCGAGTGCTAATCACTCAGCGTTGAACTGTTACACCTGTCCATCTGAAGCGTATTACCTGGTACTCGTACACGTACACCCACCTGCCCTTATCGCAATACCAAGAAGCGCTCCATGACTAAGCCTAATTGCAAGGAGCAAGTACAGTGGGCACTCGCTGCATGAATGAATGAATGAATTAAAGCGTACAGTGCACACTCAGCTAACGCGCATCTATCTCTGCATTATCCATTCAGACGTAGCTCTGTTTTAGATGGATACCCGTTTATTGAGCTATTGTAATTGGTCAATTGGTCATGCGAACAGCTGTTCGTCTACCAAAGCTTTCTCTTCGGCTTCCGATGAGCGAAAAGCCAGATGCACATCAAATAAGATAAGTCTAAACTTTGATAGCATCTTTTTGATGCCTCCATTCCCACTGTTCCCACTGTTCCCACTGTTCCCACTGAGTGCGAGGCTTAAGCGTAATCAATTAGTACACGTGTGGCCTAGGAACTGACTTCTAGTATTCCGCTTAGCATAGACTGAAATGGAAATTGCAACTGGAGCAGCTTCCAATTTCGGTTTTATGGGCTCTACAATTTGTCGTCTAACTCAAATGGAGCGCGACAGCCGAGAGTTGGTCCCAACTGAACGAGCGCCATTAAGAGCAAAAACAACTTGAGATAAAGAACCAAATATATATAACTAAATATACATATATACAGAGGCAGAGAGAGAGACGCTACTGGGCATACGTACATATATAAATATGTATGTGTGTATACCCAAAACTCTTGCGCTCAGCAATCAGGAAACCCAAGTAAGCTGAAGATCTCGAGAGTGCTACTATGGGCATGCTCGACTACAAGATACTCATAATTAACAAATGAAAGAATCATTAGCCAGTCGAAACCGAAGACGTAAGCCATAGATAAGATGACTAAGAGAGAGAGAGAGAGAGAGAGAGGAAGGAACAGATAGACAGATGGTTGAATAGACAAACAAAGCAAGCTAAGAGAAGGACAGACGAGCAAGCGAGGCTAGATGGACGCAACTCATTGGCACTGATCAAAAGTGATCAGAACTGATCAAGCATTTATATCCCTTATGTCTTCCATCGAAGTAATGAATGAATGACTCAATTAATGAATGAATAAATGACTCAATGAAAAGGCCATCTAATCAGAGCTGTCGACGAACGATACTTATCGATAGTTCTGGTATTGAATGAACACCAGTCGACATTGAACAATTCGCGTAAATTAGTTTTGGTAATTTACATTGCCTCGACTCGAATCAAATCGAAACTTCAAATAGCCTCGCCGCCCAGCGATACCTGACTTTGATAAGCGATACGAAACGAGGGACGCCTACGAAAATCGAAATTAGGAGCCAGCCACGTAGCGTACAAGGCGTGCGTACATCTGACATAAGCAAATTCCTGAAATTTCGCGAATTTTATAGCCGGAATATCCACCATAAAGATCTCACATAAATGCTTATCGAGTGCATGCGATTCGTGAATGGTCGACTAATCGCCTTCTGCTTTATTGAATGGGCCAGCAAGCAGTTTGACTCCCAGCTGAAACTCACTTGCACTGCTTGCTGACTGGGATGGCCATTGCCTGGACTCGCCGCCATTACTGTCGCCCGTTCACTCCACTTGATGCACAGCTGGCAGCTATGAAACTCAACGAGATGTCGTCGCCTTCTTATTCATTATTTATCATGACCCTTGGCTAGCAGCTATGAAACTCCAGTTGTTTGTGTTATTCTCCACACAGTCAGATTGCACTTCAACTGCTTGACTGTCCACCTACGTCTTGCAGCTGACAGCGACTCCTATGACTCTCGTGTCTTCAGCTCCAGCTGACGGCTATGCAACTTTAGCCAAGCTACTGTCAGAGAGAAAATGAACTTCTTGGATTCGTCTCGTCGACTTCCCCAACCCGGTCACCGTTTCACTTGACACATAGCTGACAGCTATGCAACTTTCCGTGTTAGCATTCAGATTTGGTTTCATTCAACTCTTGGTAATCGCACTCATAGACATATCCATTTACGATGTTTGACAAGCGGACAGGTGAGACTAGCGAGTGCATTATCTGTATGGCCTGTCACACGTATTTGGATTCCCCCTTGGCCATAAATGGATTTCTGTTAATGCTAATTCTTGGCAATTTACACTCTGCCTGTGATATCTATATTTCATGAGATACTTTGTTCCTGGCAGTCGCAATGTCAAGCTCGCCCGAGATAGTCCCGCTACTTGGTGACTTTCTACTGACTTCTGAATTGTCTGTCTGACTGAACTGAATTTCTTACTCCTATCCTCTTTGCAGATATCAAGCCCGTGGAGGCAGGCGAGGAGACATCGGCTGCAGCTGAGTCGAAAGCCGTTCCAGTCGACGCGTCTGCAGCTCCAGCTGCTGAACCGAGCGAAGAGCCAGCTAGCAACGGCAGGGCCCTGGCTGCGGTAGAACCCAAGAAGAATGGCATCGAACCAGAGCAGAGCAACTATGGCAATGTGGCCGATGCGGAGGGTCAGCAAAAGGTAAGCACACACAAATGGCCCCAGGGCTAGTCTAATGCGATCCACTTGCCACTTCACAGAAACTGCCCTATCCAAAGTCCGTCTTCTTCATCATCAGCAACGAGTTCTGCGAACGCTTCAACTATTATGGCATGCGCAGTAAGTAGCTAGGGAAACCCGCCTAAAATTTGACTTGACTTTATTCCCCACCTTCCGCACAATTCCGGCCAATTCCGAGTCTTCCGAGAGCCCCTTAAGCTCCCTGAATAATAGATTCCTTGATTAGAAACTTCTTCACTCTTATCCTCTCCATCCACAGCTGTTCTGGTGCTCTATTTGAGTCGACAACTGGGCTACTCGGACGACACGGCGACTGTGGTTTTCCACGTGTTCACAATGTTCGTCTACTTCCTGTGCATATTCGGCGCTATCATATCGGACTCGTGGCTAGGCAAATTCAAGACTATTTTGTACTTATCGATGGTTTACATTTGTGGATCGGTGCTGCTGACTCTGGGCGCCATTGGACCCCTGAGCCTGCCCGTGGAGACGTTTACCATATTGGGCTTAGCGCTGATAGCGCTTGGATCGGGTGGCATAAAGCCGTGTGTCTCGGCCTTCGGCGGGGATCAGTTCAAGGTGCCGGAGCAACTGAAGCAGATCACCTCGTTCTTCTCGCTCTTCTACTTCTCGATCAATGCGGGCTCGCTCATCTCGACGACCGTGACGCCCATACTGCGAGAGGACGTGCACTGCTTCGACGACATCAACTGCTATCCTTTGGCCTTCGGAGTGCCCGCCATCCTAATGATCATCTCGGTGGTAATCTTTGTGCTGGGTCGTCCGCTCTACAAGATTAAGCCGCCAGCTGGCAATATGGTGGTTTTGGTGAGCAGCACGATTTGGACAGCGATCACCACGAAGTGCAAGGAGAAGAAGACGAATCCCCGCGAGCATTGGCTCGACTATGCTGACAAGAAGTACGACCGCAGGATGATCGAAGACGTGAAGGTGCTGATGCGTGTGCTCTTCCTCTATCTGCCGTTGCCCGTCTTCTGGGCACTGTTCGATCAGCAGGGATCGCGCTGGACCTTCCAGGCGACACGCATGGACGGCGACATGGGCTCCTGGGATGTGAAGCCGGATCAGCTGCAAGTGCTTAACCCGCTGCTCATTCTCATCTTCATACCCCTATACGACGTTGCCTTCTATCCGGCCTTGAGCCTGATCGGCATACGTCGTCCGCTGCAGAAGCTGACCATGGGCGGAATACTAGCTGGCATTGCGTTTATCATCTCTGGCATTGTCGAGCTCAATCTAGAGGTAAGTTTTGGCTATACCATGGCTAGCACCTTGTTGCACCCACCTTACTCACTCTATACTCAACTCTCTCTCTCTCTCTTTCTCTCTCTCTGTCTCTCTCTGTCTCTTTGCCTGTCGCTCTGTATGTGCTCTCGTTCATTTTGTTCCGTTTTTGTCCGTGTAGAAAACCTATCCCGACTTACCCTACAGCCAGAATGTGCAGCTGCGCATCTTCAATCCGGAGAACTGTGCTTACACTTTCTCAACGAACCTTGAATCACTGCCATCAATCGAGCTGGAGAAATACAGCATGTATGTGGAGAAGCACATCTATGTGCCCGGCACCTTCAACCTACAATATAAAATCAGCTCAGCAGATCCCGCGTGCCCCGAATACAAGGGTGGCGCGCAGGAGCTGACGGATAACGCAGCCTGGTCGCTCTTCCTCAATAGGCGCAATGCGACGGTACCCGGGGCCGACTCGTTCTGGCTGAAGGACTTTGTGAACAAACCCTCGGACAGCTACCCGCTGGTCCGCACGCTCGGCAACGTGCAGCAACAGCGGCGCATCGTGTGGAAGAGCAGCAAGGAGCAGTACGCATACAATGCGAACGAGACGAGTCTGGTGCGAGTCGCCTCCGGCGACTACACCGTCTCCATTGACAATCAGCTGGTGGGCCAGTTCCGTATTCACACAGGCGGCGTGTACACGCTGCTCATCGATGAAGTCAATAGCGACTACGGCTACAAGCTAATCGAGGTGACGGAGCCCAACTCCATGAACATCCTCTGGCTGATACCACAATATGTGGTCATGACCTTGGGCGAGGTCATGTTCTCTGTGACTGGGCTGGAGTTCTCTTATGCCCAGGCACCGCCCAGCATGAAGTCTGTGCTGCAGGCCTGTTGGCTTCTGACCGTGGCCTTCGGCAACGTCATCGTCGTGATCATCGCGGAGGCAGCGCTCTTCGAGTCGCAGGCCAGCGAGTTCTTCCTCTTCGCCGGTCTCATGTTCGTCGACATGCTGATCTTCATGTTCATGGCCTACAACTATAAGCCCAATGATCCCAACAAGATCGAGGAGGCTGAGCCGTTGACCAGTGGCCAGAGTCACGATGTGCCAGCCCTCGACTTGGGCATCGACAACAAGTGCCAGACCATTGATGAGTAGAGCCCGCCACGTTTTCCTTGTTGTGTATTATATAAAGCGCTACCCCTAACCCAGCCCCATCCCAATTCCCATTCTACGATAACTCCCATATGAATATATATTTGTACTTTGTGTCCTTCTACAATGTAAGTGTAAAGCTCGACGGTTGAGGGGTCGTCGAGCGTTTGTTGAATATGACAAGACCTACGTTTTAAATTAAACTAATCTAATTAAATAAATACAAATGATGTAATCATAGCTGTCTGTGCGTCTCTTTGGCTTGATCTGTCTCGCTTCTTATCTTTTGCTAGCCTTCACCTCTGCCTCTACTCCATTCCGTTTACCTTCACTCCTCACTCATCTCCTCAGCCTCTTCCCTCTACCTATCTGCACCCCTCTTGCGAGCCATCGCCTGGCGTAGCTTGCGCACTCTGAAAGGCCACTTAATGTGTCCAGATACCTTTAAGCTCCACATGATTGAAAGTCCCAAAGTATCTTGATCTTAAGGTAAGCTTGGGTCTCTTGCCAGAGGGCAAGCCTCCCATTGGAGGCTGACTCTGTGTTGCTCCGGGCATGACTAGCTCATGCAGGCACTCTTCTTTGGAGATCAAGAGGTGGTCTGGGTAAGAGTGAGATGCCTGAATAAACGGGGTTTCCTTTGGCTCGGGCGACAGGTAAGTTTAGGGCTTAGTCACAATCGACTAGGTTAGAGACTAAGTTGAAGCGACTTCGAGGCATCGCCAAGTCTTAGCGGCCAAGCAGATCGACTGAGTAGGCTTGGCTGTGCAGTCGCTTCTCTAGACTTGCTGTAGCCCACACTGTAGGCAGCTCGATCATTCCAGCGCACGTACCCGATTCTCCCAGTTGCTGGCAGCACGCAGTTGCGCATTCTGAGCGGCATACCCGGCTGCGATTACAGGGTGCGTAGCAATCTGGCAGACGAGCAGGGCAATCTAACGCTGTATGGCATCGACTTCTACTCGAGCGGCAGCCTGGCCACCAGCAACGGAAGCTTCACGCTCTCCTACACCATAGACAGCTTAACGAAAGGTGAGTGCGAGTGAGTGGGGGGGGAGTAGGAGGCGAGACCCCGAGGGGACTCCAGGAGTAATCCCCTTGCATTGCAGGCTGTCCTGATGTGGAGGGTGGCACGCAGCTGCTCTTGGAGGCAACGGCGCATACCCTGTTCCTGCGCTCCGAGCATATGGTATCTAAGCTCTGGTACGTGGACGACCTGCAGAAGTCGAACAAGTCGAAAGCCCTGGTCCGCACCTTGGCCAATGTGCCAGCCGGCAAGCGAATCATTTGGCAAGAGGTGCGCAGCGGGAATACGGCACTGGAGCTGCAAGCACGCAGCTACGACCTTCACGAACTGAACACCATCGAGTACCAGGTGCTGATAGGTCAACAGCAGATCCACCAGCAGCTGCTGCGACCTGGCGGTGTCTACGCCCTGGTCATAGGCCCAGCCGAAAATGAGGTTCATACCTCGCGCATGTTCGAGCTAACTGAACCCAATTCGATGAGCATGCTCTGGCTGATTCCACAGTATGTGGTCATGACCTTGGGCGAGGTCATGTTCTCTGTCACAGGTCTCGAGTTCTCCTACTCGCAGGCGCCTCCGAGTCTCAAGTCCCTGCTGCAAGCCTGCTGGCTCCTGACAGTCGCCTTTGGCAATGTCATCGTCGTGATCATCGCCGAACTCAAGTTCTTTGACTCGCAGGCCAACGAGTTCTTCCTCTTCGCTGGTCTCATGTTTCTCGACATGTTGATTTTCATGTGGTTTGCCCTCTACTACGTAAGCTATGACGAGGTCGCCGCAATGCACCAGAGGAAACTTATAAAAAAGAGACATTAAAGGAATATAAATACTGTGCATAAATATCAACTATTACTAATTATGTTACTAAATGTTGTCTGAATAAATATTGCGGTTTGAAAAAGCAAATCCACGCGCGCTTTATTCAAACTTTAGAAACTTTCAGTGTGACCAAAACTTCTAAGTCTACAAATAACTACATTGAATGCAATTAAAAAATTTTAGTTTTCAAAATGAATGAACAATTATAAATACAAAATTTTAAATTCACAAACTATTTTTTATATACATAAGCAATTTATATTTTATCTCTAACTGTTGTCTAACTAATAGTAAGGTACATAAAACATTAAATTTACTACCACTTCAGTGTGCCCATAGAGTGTTAATGTTTAAATGTACGGCGAGATTTTGAAATTCCACCAAACGACACGCAAACATATTTCTAATTGAATGAATAAAATAAGATGGTAAAAACCTGAAAAATATATAAGCGATACTTTATACACAACAATCAATTTTCGTTTTTAAATTAAATAATAAAACAAAATTAAAATAATTATTTTTCAACACTCAAATTTAACGCCGCCTTGCAATGCTTCGCATAACGCATTTTGGCTAAAGAGACGACATTGCGACCAGGGCTGACGATTACGCCTGCGCGTTGCCAACTATTTGCTAGCGTTGCCCATACTATAGCAAGACAGTTGGCAGCTCCGGCGAGTCATTTGACATATGGCATTTTTAGTGCTTTTTCGCAGTTGTCTAATGAAAAAAACGAACAAGAAGAAGAACAGTCTGCTGCAATCATATGACTTGTCGATCGATAGAGAAAAATAAAGGTTGAATTTTCGTCGTACGCTGCTACGTGTTGGTTTAAAGAAGCGTTTGCAACAGTTTTCACAAACACTTGCCAGCCCCTAAAGAACCTAACAGTAAACGGAGCGCATCCATCCAGCCAAGCCTAGCGTATTCCAGCGAATTTCCAATCTTCACTCTCTCTGTCGCTCTCGCTCGTTCTTCCATCCCCATTTTTTGTGCAGTATGGACAGCTCGGGATTCATGTTCAACGTGGACAATGGCTATCTGGAGGGCCTCTGTCGCGGCTTCAAATGTGGAATACTCAAGCAGGCCGACTATCTCAATCTGGTCCAATGCGAGACGCTGGAAGGTGAGTGCAGCAACTTCCATTTAACGGCCTCCATTTCCAATACGCCCGCCCCAGTCACATGACGAGCTATCAGTCACACACATGCATACATATGAATGTGCGTTCGTGTGTGTGTGTGTGCAAGCTTGCCTTGTGATTTGTTGTCATAATACCCTGTATATTAATCATGCTCAGCAGCATATTAGCTATGTGAAATAGTTTGTGCACAATTTTGAAATGTGAGTATGTTTCGATCCGAAAATCCGAAATATCGATCATATATAACATATGTATATATAATATTTCTTTCATTTTCTAGTCACATTTTGACAATCGCTGCGTTTTAGCTTACAGTTTGAGAGTCACGCGCTTCTCCTACCTGTTGACTAATTGAGCAGAGAGAGAGGAAGACGTGGGGCATAGTCGCTATGAGCAACTGTTTTATACGCAGTTGCTGACTGAATTCTTCAACTTATATATCACTTAAATACATAAATATATATATGTTTTCTGGTTACAGTTTGAACATTTTGATGACAAATTGTAGACGTTGATCTAGTTACCAGCTATTTTAATCCCTCCTTTCCTTAAGATCCGATTTCCTTAAGATCGCTTAAAATCTATTTTGAGCATTGATTTGTTCCTCACATCTCGAGAAATATTCAAACTTTAAGCATCAAACTTGCTCTATCCATATTTAGATAGCAAATTTTTCGGTCTCTGTTATAGTTAGGCAGATGAATTGTAGTATTCAGACTCTCATATACCTTGTACACTAGCATAGCTTATGTCTTGGATACCTCTCCTTTGTTGCAGATCTGAAGCTGCATCTGCAGGGCACGGACTATGGCAGCTTCTTGGCCAATGAGCCATCGCCGCTATCGGTGTCGGTGATCGATGACAAGCTGCGCGAAAAGCTGGTAATTGAGTTCCAGCATATGCGCAATCATGCCGTGGAGCCGCTGTCCAACTTCCTGGACTTCATCACGTATGGCTATATGATTGACAACATCATATTGTTGATTACGGGCACACTGCATCAGCGTCCCATCTCGGAGCTAATACCCAAATGTCACCCATTGGGCAGCTTCGAGCAGATGGAGGCGATTCATGTTGCCTCGACGCCCGCCGAGCTCTACAATGCAGTTCTGGTTGATACACCATTGGCGCCGTTCTTCGTTGATTGCATTTCGGAACAGGATCTGGATGAGATGAACATTGAGATCATACGTAATACCCTGTACAAGGCATATCTGGAGGCATTTTATAACTTCTGCAAGAACATGGGCGGCTCCACAGCCGATGTCATGTGCGAGATCCTAGCTGTAAGTCTGATCGGAGTCGCTCGCTCTATCTCTTTCTATATATGTCTGTCTATGATCTTCCAGTTTGAAGCTGATCGTCGTGCCATTATCATTACGATCAATTCCTTTGGTACGGAACTCTCGAAGGACGATCGTGCCAAGCTCTATCCCAACTGTGGTAAAATGTACCCCGATGGCCTCGCCGCCTTGGCTCGTGCCGACGACTACGAGCAGGTGAAAACTGTCGCCGAGTATTATGCGGAGTATGCAGCTCTGTTCGATGGCTCCGGCAATAATCCTGGTGACAAGACGCTCGAGGATAAGTTCTTCGAGCACGAGGTGAAGCTGAATGTGTTTGCATTCTTGCAACAGTTCCATTTCGGTGTCTTTTATGCGTATCTGAAGCTCAAGGAGCAGGAGTGCCGCAATATCGTCTGGATCGCCGAGTGCGTTGCCCAGAAACATCGCGCCAAGATCGACAACTATATACCCATATTCTAAGTCGATCTATACAAGTGAAACAAAAACAAAAATCTTAATTTCCTAATGCAATATTTTGTGCTCCATCATTTTTTTTTTTTGTGTTTCTCTGTTATCCAATTGTTAATGTCTATATATATTATATATGTATATGTATATGTATCTTCTTGTTTACGAGTATTATTCCGCGATCGAGTATTTTACACGCTATATGCCAGGCCGATCTGCACAATTGTTAATGTTCATATTATATCTATATATATATATATATCACCATCGTGTACTATATACATGTGTATATGTCTATATGTATTCGCGTTTTCGAGTGTTATTCCAATAGGCCTATGTTAACAGGCCCAGTTATGATGTACTCCTAAGCAGCTCTGCGCCACTTCAGTTCCATTTGGCCCGATTCCCATTCCCATTCCGACTTGCTATATGTATACATACATACATTATACATATATATATATATATATATATATATATATATCATATATTGTGAAAATAAATCTGTTTTAGTATTCATAAAATATTATATTAATAATAATTCCATAATGTTCATTATTCAAAATGTGGGACACTCTATATACATTTATATAGTAAAGAGTATATAGAGTTTGGTTTTTTGTTTTATATATATGTTCCAATGTTGACTTTTGTTACATAAGGGTTTTGTATCATACGATCCTACAGGGTATTTGATAGTAACTTCTTATAGCACAATTTTAAAAATACAACCAGGGTATTTCTTGGTCGGGCATGCAAAAATAACTTCGTACAGCTGGCAAGCAAACATTGAAAGCAAATTCAATTATGGTAACTATTTTCAAGGGTATATTATAGTCGGTAGATCAGCATTTGTTGAGCTAGAAACAATGCGAAACAAACGTAAGCAAGAGCTGCACATTTTGCCTTAGCATACACACACTCACATACACATACATATAATGTGTCTAACTATTAAGGATAGTAAAAAGCTTAAAGCTCAGCCAGCTTTAAACTTTAGACATTTGTATGCACGTATACACACAAACATACATACATCCTTTTACTTGTATTGTTGGAACAGTATTTTGGGGTTGTTCGTTTCATTTCAGTTAATAAAAGCTTGGAAAAAGCTTCCTTCATAAACTCCAGGTAACAGAATAGCTTCCACATACACACGTACAAATTTCACTCTGCAGCCCCCTTGAAAAATTCAAGGTCTGCGGTGCAATGTATGCCTGTGTGCTTGCGTGTCCGTTCATGACTGATCACATCTTCTGCTTTGTTTGTGGAGGAAGTAGAAGTTGGACTCAAGGTTTCCAGGGAGCGGCTGATTGACTCATACACTTAACACAAGGAGACAACAATGGAAGCGCCTTATCCATTGACGACAATCAAAGTAAAGTAGAAAACCCACAACAACTCATTAGCATTGTCTAGTGGTAGATGCAGTGAGTGGGAAGAAGAGAGTTGAGTTATGGCCCAACTGGCACAAATTACAGCTGTTTGTCTTCAGTCCGATTCGAAATTAATTATGCAAGGCGACCGAGCATGTTCCATGTCCAATGTTGCTGCCGTTAGCTAGAGGGCGCCAAAGTTATACGCACAGGCATGCACATACACATATATGCACGAGTATAGGCATGTGCGTCCACAGGTTGTATGCTCGTTTGGCAGCCAAAAGAAAGCCGTGGTCAGCTGATCCTATCTACTTTATCTTCAACAGAAGTTCGAAGTAGGTCTGCACAGACACATTCATACTTGTATGAAGGCAGCACGTTCGAGAGAAAAAGAAAGCCGCGCTTGACTGAGGCTGTCAAACATGTCTTCCGCAGAAGTTCACTGATCGTCGCCAATCACACCCAGCGTGATGTCGTTTTCTTAGCGTTGAGGGCGCATGCGGGCACCCAAATAGACGAACAGGTGGTAACGTGTTCGATAGCAAAAAGAAAGCCACGCTCAGCTGACCCTTTCAAACTTGTTTCAAGCTGAAGTTCGCTGTTCGTCTGCTCGGATCGTTCCGAATTGCCAATAACTCGACTTGATGCCGTTTTCTCAACGCAGTTGTGTTTCGCGTCTCCGCACGTAGAGTTCACTTTACATCCGAAGCAAAGCTCCTCCGTATAGCTTGCAAACGCGCGCCGATCTTAATTAATATTTCAAACCTATTTTTTTTTTAATTCTTTTTATATATTGCTGTGAACTATTTTTATTTTTTTTTTTACGTTTTTGTTACATAAAAAGTGCTAAAGTACTTGAAAGACGCGCTTCCAGCCAGGATAACGCAAGTGTAAATAGGTAAATAAATTTAACGATTTTCGGATTTACGATTCTTTCGAATTTGCTTGTCATATTTTGCTGTTTTTGAACTAACGCTACCGCTTGCTATTGTTGTTGCGGCTGGTTCTGCTGATGAGGTGCGAAATGCGGCCAGCAGAACTCTTAACTTGGCCAAAAGCAGCTAATGATGGCCAGGAAACCCAAAAGCAAACAAAAAAGCCCGCAATGTCCAAATGCACGTAAAAAGTCGCCGAGAAATTGTGTCAACCGGTTTGCTGCTCTCGCTGCTGTCGCCGTCGGCGTTGGCGTCGCAGCTGCGTTCACTTATGTTTGGGTGTTCTGCTTAACGGCATATTTGTATTTGTTGTAGTTGCTGATATTCTTGTTATTGTTGTGGTGGCTATTGTTTCGCAAATTTTTATTTGCCTTGGGCACATGTTTTACTTTCAAACATAGATCTTTTTTTGCTTCTTCTTCATCTCTGTATCTATCTTCGGCCGACCTTCTATTCGTGCCCTCCCTGCCTGACTTCATTTGCTTGCTAATTTCGAGCTTTCATACCAAATGCGCCTTTTTATTGCTTACTACAATCATAAGAACTTCATGGCCTTATTATCTCACTCACAGACACACGCACACAAACGCGTACGCACACATGCACATGTGCATAGATTGATTAGCTTTATAGGTTCAGGCAGAGCATCATCACAGTTGCCTTCTGCGCCCTCTATTGTTTTTTGTCTATTTAATGAATCTTAGGCTCTGCCCAGAAAAATGTATCAGTTTCTAAATCAAAGCCATTCAAACTGTTCGCGCTGCTGCCGCTATTATTTAGGATATTACGGTAACTCGTTCCATCCAGTTTTCGAACTCGAAGAAAGCGATTCAATTATGCAAAATTTTTCAGCGAATGCGAATGTCTGTCTCTCTCTGTGCGTGTGTGTGTTATATAAACATAAGCAGGATTTTAAAGTGTGTGTGAATCTTATTAGCATAATCGAAGCATTCGCGACGTAATCACACCGACATCTGATTAGAAACGAAAATGGAAAGAAATTCGTTGGCATGTCAAGATGGAATATAAATAAGATTAACGTATAGCAGTTTGAGATATTCATACATATGCATGCATATCTTCGAATTTATAACAGTTTGTACAAATATGGATATTCATATGTATGGCTGGCAGAGAGACAAAAGGCCTTCTCGACACTTTCGCTTGGCCGCTGATTAACCATTTTCGAACTCGATTTCCGGCATAATTTCGAATGCGAAGATGCGCATAATTAACAAACTTTTCGGTTTCGATTTCGATCTTAATTTCATGCTTGATTTCGAATCAGTTGATGCATAATTAACAGTTTTCAATTTCGATTTCGATGATCGACGCGCCTTTAGGTAATTTTTGATAAAAAAAAGAAAAAAAAACTGTTTGTTGTTGTTCACTTTCTATTTTTCTATGCGCTTAATAATTAATTAATGCTAATAACATTTCACAACCGTTATAATTTATTGACAACAATAGAAAATATGTGACCCGGCACACAGACACACACACACACACACACACACACACAGTTCGGCACACACACACACTTGCAGAGAAATGGAAATGAATGTGTTTATGAATATAAATATGAAACCTTTCCAGCTGTTACGTATTGGAATGCCAGTGAAATTATGTGAACACGTCCAGAAGAAGCGGAAGAGCCAGAAGAAGAAGAGTTGGAAGAAGTGCCAGCAGCAGCAGTAATTGTTCAGCTGCTTCCAACGGGGAATCGTGACTGTAGATCACTTGGCAATCTAGTTGGACTACAAGAGTCTCCTTTTAAGTCCAATTCGACTTGCAATCCAATCCAAGAATCCGATTGAATTACAAAATTCTAAGTCCAGTGATGAGGCGTTCCCAATTGGAATTCGTAGCGCATACGACTTGGCCAACTGTAGACCAACTTAGCAAAAAGTCAAATTACAATACAGCAAAATTTCCATTACGATTCAAAATGCAAGCGCTGAGCCGACTCTAATTAGAGTCCATAGCGAGTGCAAACCGCTTAGACAATTCTCAAACCCAGTGTTGTGCCGTTTCCAATTGGAAAACGCAACGAATGCACCATGGCTATCTGCTGTCGTTGACCACTTAGTTAAAAGTCCAGTTAGAATACAACAAAATTCCCCATTCCCCCCAAATTCCAAATTAGAATTCCATTGGCCATGACCATTTAGAGCTTTACTGTTATTCTTACTGCTAGCCAATCGAGCTGCTGCTGCTGTTGCGACTTGTGCGGCAGCAGCAACCGCATTTGGTCACATACTTTCTTTCCACTAATATGTTAAAACAACAGCAACACTAACAATTGGGTTACAAGCAACAGTTGTCTGCAATTCCAGTTGTGCTTTGGAAGGTCATAGCTGAACATAATTGCGAGGGTGGTACCGAAAGTTTGCAGTTTAACATCATATAAATACATAAATTAAAATCAAATATCTTAATATATAAGAAAAATTAACTATAGCCAATTAGCTAAAATAAATTAATTAAATAGCTAACGAGCTAAAAGAAATTAATTTCTACTTATGTAATCTTCCCTGCTTGTGAGTTGGCAACTTTACAGGCCTCCCTCGGCTAAGCATAACAAATTTTCAACTCGCTCTCGCGCATAGCTAAATGAAGTAGATCGAATCTTTACAGTTAATATGTATATTATGTTTGCTTCCTCTCTATCTCGCACAGCAAGTTCGAAGTTGTAGCTTGAGCCGTTATTCTCCGCCGGCGATGCCCGTTTGAAAAAGTCGAGTAGCTTCCAATGAGTCAATCGCTGTAAATTTCACTTTGCCAGCTTACAAAATGGGCGCCCAAAAAACTTAACGAGTGAGTGAGTGAGCTTGAGAGAGAGAGAGGGAGAGCTGCAAGCAGCTGCTGCTATGTGGGTAAAAGTGGGGTGGGTTTCATTCTAAGTAGCAATTGTCAATTGAATAACTGTAAGCTCGCGGTCAGCTCAGCTGCAGCGCTGTTGCTGCGGCTGTTGTTGTTGGTTGCTTAAGATTTCACTCTCGCTTTTGTCTTTTGTCTATGGCTCTATTTTTGTTGGTTTTTCTTTATTTTTCTTTTGTGTTTGTATACGAATTATACGTCTCGATTGATGCTGCTGTTGCTGACTACTAGATGGCGCTGTTAATTTGTTTGCTTGCGTGCTGCCCCTCCTCCTCTTTCTGCTATTGTTGCGTTGAGTGCGAAAGAGAGAGCGAGAGAGTGCGATACAGATTGGAAGTTGAAAGAAATTATGTCAATATTTATTTAAATTCATTTCTTTCGGCAGCTCATGCGAAAAATAAAAACAACAAATGCGAGAGAAGACGAAGCGGTGAAATTTAATCGAAAGCCAAATTTTTTTTCGTTTTAAGAGGTCTTTTGTTTACCTTTGAAATACTTTTCGGGTGAAACCTCGATTCGGATTTAGTGCGAAATAAAGAGGGGAAACACCCGCCTACGCCTATGTATGTATGCGGAGCTTAGTCTAATGCGCTTCCAACTGGAATCGCAGGGAGAGATTTCGCTTCCAACATGATTTTACAATTCTGTTTGCTCTATTTCGAATTGCATGTCGAATGCCGAATTCGAATTATCGCTTAAGATGACCCTAAGACAGATTTCAACGGCTTAGCTGACTATAATTGGCTTCGATTTCCCAATTGGAGTCATAGCGGGCCATCCAATTCGATTTCAGGGTTTGTGTTATATTAGGTTACCCCAATTAGAATACCAATTACAATTGGATTGTCTGGGTATTTCGTCTCACGTTTGATTCCATTTTGAACTCGACTCCACTTGAAAGTCGCAATTTGTTGGCAATTTAATTCGAATTGGAATTTGATTATAATTTGAATACACTTGGAATTTATTGTCCTGTCTAATTCGGCTATTTTCTTGCCACTCCAATTGCAGCTCAAGATGGCTCACGCTCTCGCTCGCTCCCTGCTGCTGATGCTGCTGGTTGGCTCTGCGCTGCTCTCCGCGGAGTCGAAGACCCTGAATCGCCGCACCGACAAGATCTCCGAGAACTTCAAGCAGCTCGATCTGCCGCCAGAGGAGATCGATCCGAACGTGGCGCCGCCCGAGCCACAAAAGCTGGACAATGCCGTGGCCGAGGCAGTGGAGGAAACAGTTGCTGAACCAGTTGCAGCGGCAGCTGCAGAAGCTGCAGAAGCTACAGATGCTGCGGAGGCTGTGGACGAGACGGCCAATGAGATAGCCAGCGCGGCAACAGAAGCAGCAGTTGCTAAGCCAAAGCCAAAGCCAAAGCCAAAGCCGACGAAGCCAACGAAACAGGATGACGCTGATAAGAATCCAATTAGCCGATACTGCAAGTGCAACGAGTCGCACTGCGATTGCTGCCGCAAGTTCGGCCTGCCGCTGCTGCCGAGTGGACCGGGCTGCGCCAAGATCTCCTACCTGGGCAACGACGAGATGAGCGTCTCCCTCAAGTTCGGCGACATCACGCTCGCCTCCCGTCGCATCTCCAGCAAGCGGGCACGCCCCATTTGCGTGGGCATGCCTGGCGGCTACTCCAAGTTCTGTGGCCGGGTCTACGGTCTGTCGCGGGCCCAGGAGAACTTCAAGGCGTGCTTGGCCTTCGAGCTGCGCTCCGAGGACGAGCTGGAAGCGCAGCTGCCCATCTCCTGCTTCAAGTTCGGCTCCGAGGGTCTGCGCGTCGCCGAGGCAGAGCCTTTGCCCACCAAGGTGAAGAAGCCCGAGGAGGATGACGACGACGACATCTTTGGCTTTGGCGGTGAGCATTAGCACTCGCAAATCTGATTCGAGCTTCGATTCGAATAATCTTTGGCTTGCCAAAGAGAGATAGCATTCCACTTGAATTACTATTCCCTTCGAGCTCCAATTTGATTTCCTGTTGTCAATTCGAAGCTGTTCGAAACTTTGCCCTAAATTCGTATTTCAGTCTAATTTGAATTCCTACTCCAGCTCACCTTACTCTGGCAGTTGTCTGTCTCAGACCAGTCTAAATCTATTTGGAATTCAATTCTTTTTTAACCTATTCCAATCAAAATAAGCTGAACATCTTAGGCCATACAAATTCGAATTCGAATTACATTTGAGCTCCAGTCGAAAAACAAAGCAACTTCCAATTCTTTACCACGTCATAGCGTGCTTATTCTAATTGGACTTTCACATAGAACTGCAATTGGAAATCCAATATCAGCTTGAAAGTCATTTCAAGTTGGATATTCGAATACCTCTGTATCTATCTTATTCTAATTGAATTATTCATTTTCTCCCTCCTAATCACTTTGCAGCTGGCGACGATGAGGATGAGGATGAGGACGATGACTACGATGACGGCGAGACGGCTGCCTCCGCCGAGGACGACGATGCCGACGACTATACGGAAGACGACGATACCGAAGCACCCGAGGATGCCGACTATGGCGGCTTCAGTCTGGGTGGCCTGCTCGACGAGCTTGACGACGATGAGGATGAGAAGCCCAGTAAAAAGCCAGCTGCCGTCGCTGCCGCTGCTGTTGCTGCTGCTGCGGCACCTGCCACGCGCCTTGCTGATCAGACGACGCGCGAGCACATCGAAATGGAAGCGCAGAGCAAGGATGAAGCAGGCACAGTTGCAGCCGCAGCACCAGCAGCAGAGGCCTCTCCAGCTGCAGCTGCCGTGGAGGATGCAGCTGCAGCTGCAGCTGCAGTTCCGGCTGTTGCCGCTGCCGAGGACAGCAGCGCCACCACGGCCAGCGCGACCTCGACCAAGGCCAAAAAGTCGAAGAAGGCGAAAAAGAACAAGAAGAAGAAGAAGGCAGCCAACACGGCAGCAGCCGGAGAAGGCGACTTCGCCTACGAGTTACTCAATGGCATCCTGGATTTTTTCAACTGAGCGGCCAACGGGAATACGCCAACATGCTTGGCAACTCTGTAAATACCCTGTATTGACGTTGAGCTGCTGTTTACGGATGGAGGAGGAGGCGAAGAAGGCGCAGGAGAAGGGCAGGAGGGAGGAGATATAGAGGCGAGAATGAAAGGAGTGAAGGCGAGGAGAAGGCGCGGCAGAAGACAGAAGAGCCGCAACAGTTGCATTTACGTTTACGAATCGAGGGCTCAAAGAGGAAACGAGAAAGTGCAGAGTGAGGAGTGACGAGCGACGAGTGACCAGCGACGAGCGACGAGTGACGAGCGACGAGTGAAGGGATGCACACATATTTGGTATCAGGAGTTAGTTTGTAAGAGAGAGTTTACTTATGCCTTCATCTGGACTTTCATTTACGAATGGAATGTGAAGAGTAGAAGAAGAAGAATTCTTCAATACCTTTGCCTATTCCCCCATTTATTTATTTAAGCGTCTTTTTATTTATGCACAAATCGAAGAACGAGATTCATCTGTCAGATCTGCCCAGAGATCCATTTCTATCTATCTACTTATATTTATTTTTAATTTATTTAAACTAAAACGAGAATAAATAATTCCGATAGAAGTTGCCTCTTTACCATGATTTTCAATTGGCACATTTAGATATTCCAATTGGATGATGTACGCTCTTCGCTTAAGCTGGCACTCACAGAACTCCGTTTATTTCCCTTTTGCTTCTTAGTTCCAATTGGGAAAGTGCCTATTAGAAGCAATTGGTTATAGCTGATAGCTGATAGCTGGAAAGCCCGCCAATCTCCGCCCACATAAATAAAAAGCCAATTGGGAATTACGATTTTTGTAGCATTTCGCTTTTTTTTTAACATTTATTAAGAACTTTTGGAACGATTAAATTTGGATTAAAATATGGATTATATAATTCGTATTTAGTTAAAAATTGCAAACTCGACATTCAATTGGATTGAATGAGCTATACTTCCAGCTATATGGATGGCCCCAGACCCTGTGGGTTCTGCGTTGTATCCCTTTGCAATGGCCTAACGTACAATTCACTAGCTCCCAAATACATGCAGATATATATACGCAGATCTACAAAGAGACAGCGCTATATACACACGCATGCAGATGGTCCAACGGGCATTATTTCTGAATGGAATTTTCGTGCCATACAAAAATATCTAAAAAAAATCTGCATTCGCTCTACCCTTTCGATATATCTGTGGTTATTCATATGTATTCATATATAGTATTGATAATTTGGTATTCATATGCTAGCCAGGAGCTATGTGCACCTGTCCATATAGTTTAGATTATTAATATTTTGCTGTTGTATATATTGATTAAATAACGACCGAGTCGACCATTCCTGGACATATAGAGAGGAAACAGTGTCGTCTCTGTTGTAAAGCCTCGTATATAAGTGTATCTTGGTCTACAGCGCTTACAACGGCAGTGTATACAGCGTAAAAAATCGAGTTCTCGATAGATCCAACAGCAGCCGAACAAGTGGCGCGAGCTTCTACAGCGATATATAACGATCGAGCACCATGCGACTGGCCTGGATGGAGCCCGTGGAAGGACTCCAAGATATACGTCGCATAACACTTAACGCATATCGAATCGGAACAGATCAAACAGACAAATACATTGGGATGTAACTGGAACGAGTGGAGCCCAAAGCTCACATAGCGATATTTATCGATCGAACGCCAGGAGATTGGCTTTGATGGAGCCCGTAGAAGGACTCCAAGATATACGTCTGGAGCTCGCTCAGGTAGTACCCAGGTGAGTATATTGTTCGCTTACATCAGGGGCAGCCCCATGTCAAGCAGAACGAATCGGGATATAGCAAAGAGACTATACATCGGAATGTAATTGGAACGAGTATTCAGCAGTCGGCTCAGGCCGACCCGAGGCGTACTCCAGCTGCCACTTGAGCTCAGATGGTTAGATCTATTCAAAAAGTTCATATCTTTTCAGCAATGCATAACATCAATCAATATAACTTGTATACAGCTCTACAAATACATATACATATATATATATATATGTTTACATATATATATATATATATATATATATATATATACATATATAAATAAATATTCTTCTAAATATGGAAATCCATAAAGATAATAAATAATGGTAACAAAATATTTGTATTTTTGATGCCAATATTGTCACATGGAGTTTCTTCCAATACTTTCTTTTGCGAGCTTTTTCGCTTTTCTGCTCGACTCAAATACGAAAGTTTATCTACCATATATATATATATACAGGGCGGTCTAATTAGAAACTTGCGATTGGCTCCAGTCTAATAAGAAATTAATTTCGTTAGTTTAGGTAGTTATCTGTATCTTTCGAACGTGAAGCTAATATATAATATTATAATTCATGTTTATATATCTATATATATATATATATATATATATATATATATATATATATATATATGATCCTTCGCTCCAAGTATATATATATATAAATATTTCTTCTTCTCTAGTTGCTCTTTATAAATATGTATATATATATATTTTTCTATCGTGCGCTACGTTTTTGCATATGAAAATTGTTTTGGAAAATTCGTCGAAAAACTCTTAGCCGAAATATGAAAAAAATACGTCGGAATTCTAGGTGTTTGTATAGTCGGAATGGGTATATTGTAGTCAGTCTCTTTTTTTGGGTTTGTCTTCTATCTTTTTATCAAAAAAAAAAAAAAAAAAAAACAATTTATAGTTAAGCGGGGCTGTGCATAGATGTGTGTATGTGTGTAGTGTGTGTGTGTGTGTAGTGTGTGTGTAGTGTGTGTGTGTGTGTAGTGTGTGTAGTGTGTGTGTGCGTGTAGTTTGTGTGCGTGTAGTGTGTGTGTGTAGTGTGTGTGCGTGTAGTGTGTGTGTGTAGTGTGTGTGTGTGAAGTGTGTGTAGTGTGTGTGTGCGTGTAGTGTGTGTAGGTGTATGCAGGTATGCTTAGCTGCCTAGGATCCAGACACCTGTTCACCTCATGCTCAGCAGATGTTCTGCTTACCCTGTACAAAGTGAAGCGCGTGTGGGTCTTGATATGCTACTAGATATGTATGGGTGTCTGTGTGAGTGGCTGTGTGTGTATGTGTGGCTGTGCCATGTGCTGCAACTGCATTAATCTACTCAAGTCATTTATCTCCTCTCTCAATCTCTTTCAAGCCCTTTGCTTGCTTCGTTGTGCTGCTGCCTCTTTCGAACTAGTTCACTGAGCTAGTTCATTTGTTGTTAGTTTCAATCTATTTCTGTGAGTTGCTTCCCCCTCTTCTTCTTCTTTTCTTCTCATGGTTTCTGTGTCTGGTCTGTGTGTGTTTCGTCTGGAATAGCTGCAAGTCCCGATTCTCGCATTTGTGTCCCTCGCTCTACATCTCTCTATCTCTCTCCATACCTGTTGTATGAATGTATGAATTAGATGCTTCATGTGCCTTCCACCACTCCCCCTTTCTCGCTCTCTCTCCCTCTCGCTCTTCAGTTGCCTCATTCAGTTTCTCTAATAGATACGAGCCCCTGAAATCTGCTCACACATCTTACTGTGTCAACATGTTTCAGGGTGTCGCATCTATTCACTGTCTAATATTGTCTCCTTCTCGGTTTCCCCAGCAGTAGCAAGTACTACATGGAGCCGAGAATCTCAAATACTCCAGTTCTGCCGCTTGCCTCGCACTATCCTCGTCTTTCTGTCTGCTCTCTGTGATCAGTGTTTCAGGATGAATGGATAGGGCTGCTTGTATGCAATTCGTAGGTCCCTTACTCTTCCTTTCGCCTCCTCTCTATCTCTCTTGTCCTCCATTTCTGATGGTTGCGTATATATACGTGGTACCTGAATTCGTAGCGCGGACAGCAATCAAAACAAAAACTTCATCGAGATCTGCGCATGTGAAGCAAAGGCCACAAACATATTTGGATTGAAGTTTTAACTAATCAACTCTAGACTAATAATATTTATCTGGATTATAAGATGAGATAAATAAGCTGGGATACAATTGAATAGGAGTAGGTAGTTAAGTAAAGAGAAGTGGATAAGCTAGGATAATAAACGTTAGATAAAATATGACAAGTCTGAAGCTGCACTTCCCTTATCCGAGCTTATCCTACAGGATAATATAGGGTAAGATAAGTTAGGATACAGAAGATAATTCTGTATCTCAACTTAGCTTACCCTTTATTACCCTGTTGGAAAAGTTTGGATAAGAGAAGTGCAGCTAAAATTAAAAAACAAAAACTAAGATAAAATAAGATAAGATAAGTCGAGCAAGAATAATTTAGAATAATATAAAAGATAAGAAAATAATATAAAATATAAGAAATAAAATAAAGAAGTGATAGGAAAGGATAAGAAATATAGGATAAGCTAGGTCAAGCACGAAGTGAACGAAGAAGATTAGATGAGGGGGAAAAATAGGATAAGCTAGGATAATAAACGTTAGATAAAATATGACAAGTCTGAAGCTGCACTTCTCTTATCTGAGCTTATCCTACAGGATAATATAGGGTAAGATAAGTTAGGATACAGAAGATAATTCTGTATCTTAACTTAGCTTACCCTTTATTACCCTGTTGGAAAAGTTTGGATAAGAGAAGTGCAGCTAAAATTAAAAAACAAAAACTAAGATAAAATAAGATAAGATAAGTCGAGCAAGAATAATTTAGAATAATATAAAAGATAAGAAAATAATATAAAATATAAGAAATAAAATAAAGAAGTGATAGGAAAGGATAAGAAATATAGGATAAGCTAGGTTAAGCACGAAGTGAACGAAGAAGATTAGATGAGGGGGAAAAATAGGATAAGCTAGGATAATAAACGTTAGATAAAATATGACAAGTCTGAAGCTGCACTTCTCTTATCCGAGCTTATCCTACAGGATAATATAGGGTAAGATAAGTTAGGATACAGAAGATAATTCTGTATTTTAACTTAGCTTACCCTTTATTACCCTGTTGGAAAAGTTTGGATAAGAGAAGTGCAGCTAAAACTAAAAAAAAACTAATATAAAAAAGATAAGATAAGTTGAGCAAGAATAATTTAAAATAATATAAAAGATAAGAAAATAATATAAAATATAAGAAATAAAATAAAGAAGTGATAGGATAAGCTAGGTTAAGCACGAAGTGAACGAAGAAGATTAGATGAGGGGGAAAAATAGGATAAGATAAGGCAAGTTAAAATAGGATAATATAAGTTAGATAGGATAATATAGGTTGGGATAAGTTTGGATAAGCTTGGTTATATTTGATGAAATTGGAAAAAAAAGTTAAGCCAAAATATCTATTTGTGATGAAATTGAAAGAAATAAAAAGTAAAACTAAAATGTCTATTTCTAATTCCAAACTGGCCTTGCCTCGCTTCGCCCTCTCTCTCTCCCTTGGTGTCATTTGAGGTTTATTTTTGTTTTGTTTGCTTCCATTCGTCGTCTCGGTGAGAAGTTTCGACTAAATATATAGGATGTTGCTTATATAAGTCGGAACCTCTTAAAGCTGGCGAGTCTCCTCAGCGATCTACCTCCCGTTCTTCACACATCCTTCTAGCTAAGCTTTACTCGTGAGACTGGTGGTCCGTCCCACACGCTCTCGCTGCTGCTGACATCGTCTCGCCTGCTGTTTTACTTAAGCTAAGTTCTACACATCGATCTATATGCTATTTGGCGAGGTAACTCTTGCGTTTTTCCTCGTTTTCGGTTTCGGTAGTTTTTGGGTAGCTTTGTTGTATTGGCCAGGGTATTGCTTGCGCTTCCCCTTTTGGCGACGTTTCTTATGATATGTTTTTGTTATTCATTTGTCGGTAGCTTGTGCTACTTTCTTCAATGTTGTCTGGATCTAGATCAGAGTTTGAGCTTGCTTTGAATTTGTGTATTTTTGTATGGTAGTTTTCTTTTGATTATGTTTGGTTATTTTCTGTTGTTTTACTTTAAGCACAACACATTGAGAATTATTGAAAAGACATTTATGGATTAACTTGTAACGTAGATAATTGAAAATTCCTGTAATCATATTTTTCGTTTTGTTTTGTTTTTGTTTTTTGTCAAATTTTTGATTTTGATTTTAGTACTTTCGGGACGGGGTCGTTTAGCTAGTGGGTTCGTTCGAAAGGTAAAGGAAAATCATAAAATAATCGAAATAAACTTAATCCCTTCTCTCTACTCCGTCGCAAGCGGTTAGCGTGTTGGTCTGACGGGCTTCAGCAGAGCTGCGTACAGGGTATTGCCTAGTCTGATTGCTGGCCAAGGGTACACTCTGCATACCAAACGCTCCCTCACACTGGCGTCCCAAATAAGTGGCACACTCTGCTCTGCCTTGCCCTGCTTGGCTTGATGTGGAGTTAGCTCTGCGTTCTTCATTGAAATGTCTGAAATGTGCTAAAATTGTGAAAGCTCCCTAGGAGGAAAGGTTCTGGCCGCTACAGATGCTCCAGTCGGATAGACCCGACCTTGCAAATGTCCAGAATTCTGAGCCGAGCCTCTGGTTCAAACACTCCAGCTCAAAACTTTCATTCATACACTTCAAATCTAGGAACTTAAATTGTTTTTTTGGTGGCATCCTATTGAGTGGGTTACTTTATAGCTTCGAGTGCTTGGGTAAAATGTGTGAACCAAATGAGAAGAGTTTAACTCTCAAATTGCGATTTCGGACAAAGTTAGCGAGGGACGATCGGACGAACCGGCAAACGGATGGACGGATAGGCATTCACGCAGACGGAGAGCCGAACAGACGAAGTTCCGTCCGTCTTTCCATCTACTCGGCGGTTGAAATGAATGTCGAATCTCAATGTACGCTGCTTAGACATTGTCAATGGCTGCAGGGTATGAAAACTTGCCATTGCAAGCTAAATCCTAAGTGAAAACTGGCCATGAGATCTCTAATTGATCTGAACTGATCATTCCTTTTACAGTTCAGCGATTTTCCTTTGATCAAATTTAAAATTTTCATGAGCAAGTCAAGTTAAGGAAAAGGCGAGAAAATAAGACAGGTAGAACAGGAATACAGCTAAAAAAAAGGCTAAAAAGAGCTAAATTGATTAGCATTTCTGAAAATTGTGGCTAATTGTGGACGTCGCTTCCAGACTGCTAGAATTTTGTATTTGCTTATCTTTGGCTTTTGCTATCGATGAATAAGCTTATCGATAAATTTGTATTTATCGGAGTTTTCTATTCAAGCATTCTAAGTTTGCTTTCCTTTGCTTTTTTGGTGCAAAAATTATTGTCCACGTATCGCTGACAGTATAAGAGCAAGAGAGCAGGGCTTAAGTCTATCGATATTGTTATCGATTGTCCCTATAAACGAAATTCTTTGTTGAAATGTGACCGCAGTCAGTAATATTCAATTGATTTGCCAAGGTTTTCATCGATATGTTATCGATATGTTATCGAGCCGTTATCGTTTTGTTTTGTTTTTTTTTTTTTTTGACATTTTTATCGGTTTTAATTTCCACTTTCCGTTTTCCGCTTTCGGTTTCAGTGAATAATATTCAGATGCAGCAGATGCATTTACATGTTTTTTTACAAGTGTTGACTGTACTTTTCGTTGTTTCAATTCCGCATGTTTCTGTTGCCATGCCTCACTTCCAGTCAGTCACTTAGTCTCAGTCTATAGCCTCGCTTACAACAATATAGCTAGACACACACACGCACACCCGTCCACACACGCTCCCCTTTAGATGACGAACAAATTGGTGCAGCTGGAGGAGTTGCGTCGCTTCATGTTCGTCCTGAAGCGCAACACGGATGAGAGAAAGACTTTGGTGCGTGCCGTCAGCTTGTTGACGACTTGGCGATTGCAAGCTGAGGCCTCGAGCTCTGCCTTGGCATTGGATTGTCGCCTGGCAGCCGCACTGGCAGTGGCAGCAGCAGCAGCTGCGGCAGCTGCGGCAGCTGCCGCCGATGTCGATGGCTTGCTGTCGTTGTTGTCCGACTGCTGCAGCTGTTGCCCGTCCTGGGCACGACGCTGTCGCATGCCGGCTGCCAGCTGCTCGAACTTGCTCAGCTTGCTGCTCTCCTCCTCCTCCAGCTCGCTCTCACCCATCTTCAGTATGCACTCGAGATTGAGAGTGCGTCGATTGGTGGCGCGCTTCAGCGACTCCAATGACTTCTGCTGGCTCTCGTTCTCCTTATCGTCGTCGTGGTCGTCGTCGTCCTTCTCGTCATCCTCCAGTTGGTAGATGCTCATTTGGCGCATCATCCGCCTGGCTGTCAAGTGCATGCGTCGATGCTTCTGAATTGTTGTCTGCAAATTGAGGCGCTGCAGGTCGTACTCGCTGAGCAGCGATAGGCGCTGCGGGTTCAGCTTGACCTGGGCGACTATGCCCACCAGCAGCTCGTCCACATTGTGATCGAGTCCCGACGATGTCTCGATGAACTTGCACGCGATCTCCTTGGCCAGCTTGCGACCAACTGCAAATACACCAAGGCTTGCAACAACGCATATCGGAGTTATCAGAGGCTGCTGGACTCACCTTGACGCGACACCTCGCGATGTCGCTCCAGATCCGTTTTGTTGCCCACGAGTATGGCGCCGCGTGTTAGCAGCATGTCGTTCTCCTTCAGGTAGGTCAAGACCTTTTCGGCGGCCTTGAAGGTGCCACGATCCACCACAGAGTAGACCACAACGAATAGATCAATGTTGTAAGTGGCGCAGAAAGCCTCGGTCTGTAAATGGCGATAGCGATAGCGATAACGATTACAAATACGATAGCAATAAAAATGCGAGATGGTATAGGGTCTCGGGACTGTTTCGATGTATGCACTCGATCAGTAATAACGATAGCAAAGGATAAGGATTTCGATTTTGATAGATACTTTTTGTGGCAAACCTAACGATAACGATAACAATATAGCATACGATAACAATTGATCTAGTATCTAGCGGAAGAGGCTATGGAGTGTGTGAGCCAAGTGCTTGTGCTCAATTGGATATAGATAACGATAACGATAACGATAACGATAATGTGGTAACGAGATAGATAGAAGTAGACATTATACGCATTCCTCTGTGAATTATCGAATAAATATTAATATGAATCGACAGATAATCGATAATTATCGTTGCGGATGCAACAAATGAAAGAGTATTGCATCTAGTATCGCCTCGCATAGCCGTGTAGATTGGGCTTAAAGCAATGTTGCCATGGAATAGCCGAATAGACCCTGTCTTATATCGCATATAGGTGAGAGACGGCTATACACATATGCCTCCATCTATGCCTGTGTATAGGTGCAGGTATTCTTGCCTGGGCACGCACGAAATGCAATATTTGCACTTGCGCTATCAAAAATAATAAAAAACTATTTTCCGCCATGGCCAAAGTCTGCAGGGCTAACTAATATCTGTAAAACGGGACAACTTTTGATATTGGGCAAATGCGGGAAAGTCAACATGCGGCGGTGCGTGTCAAAGGCGCTGCGCGACGGCGAGTTGTCAAATATCTATCGCTGAGCGGAGTTCTGTGTGCACACATATATTTACACACATATATGTTTACCGTTAGGCGGCCATGGTTCACGATTTATTGCCTGCTGGCGCGCTCAGAAGCTGGTCCGAAACGGCGCACAAAAGTAGGCAATGCAAATAGCAAACGCAATAATATCGAGCTGCATCGAAATTGGCAATGGGCAGCGCCTGCGAAGAGGTTTAAGCTGCGCGCCGGAGCAGGCAACAGTATTGAATTGCATTCATTAGATTAGATAGATATAGCCAGACAGATAGCTAGCGAGTTGTTCCCTAAGAAAAGAAGCAGCAGCAATCCCAGGCCGAAGCTTGCTTTGAGGAACCAGAAATTCTGTGGCAGCAGAACTACTAAGCTGTTCGAGATATGCAAATCACTGAAGAAGTGCTTACAAATCAAGGATGAAGCTGGCATTAAGGAGGTCAAGTCTCCATATTTATAATACATATATACCATAAGCCTTAGATCGTTATCCAAGCAATAAGCTAAGCGTGTTAATGAGAGCTGCTCAAGATGTAAATGAGGTAGACAAGTGTTGCCCCTCCAATAGCTGGAAGTACTTTTAAGGTTCCCCTGTTTGGCCTGACTAGCATTCAAGGCAGATAAAATAGTTGAATTCCTGATTTCTCTATCAATCAATATCCATTGAAGAGCTCTACAAATTGTTGAGGGCAGCGAGCAGCTACCGGAAAGGCTTAGGCTTAAGCTTCAGTGGATATGCCCACCCAGCAAGTCTGGGCAGACAATCTAAATTCAATATAAATTCATATATGATTCATATATATAATTCATAATTAGGGCATATGTGTGCATGTAGAGTCAATATTTTTCAACTTTATCTAAAAACAAAATTAAACTGCGCACAAAAGTAGGCAACAAAAACATTCAAATTCAATTTTACGAGCAGAGCACAAAAGTAGGCAATGCGGTTTTTGCTCAACTTTTTGTTTTACAAAGCCACACACCACATGCGCGCACACACACACATGGCCGAAGCTGTCAATGTAACAAGACATGTGCAACAATGTAATGCGCTTTGGCCTGTCAAGCGGCAGCTGTTAAAAGAAAACAGTGTTAATGACATTTGACATTTGAAAATAAGTGGCCAATGCAGCAGCTGCCACAGACACACATGTATACAGATGTATGCGTGTGTGTGAGTGTCTAGAGGGAGTGAGTGTCTGCGTGTGTCTGTGTGTGTCTGTGTGCGTGTGTTGACCCAGTGCATTCATATGTGTACTTACCGACATCTCGCAAGCCGGATGATCAATAATTTCCAAATCCGTTTCAATATTATCGACCAAGACGGACACCGTTTTCTGTCCATAGTCATCATCTGGAAGCAGATAGCAATAGGCAGTTAGAGAGAGGGAGGGAGAGAGAGAGTTAGAGTTAGAGTTGGAGCTGTTGCCACATTGAGTTTGAGGCAGAGACAAATTGCACAGCATGTTAAGGGCAAATACTTGGCACAAGCCTGTTTACTGTTTGAGCTCAGATCAGCTTTGGCTCAGCTGGAATCGCCACGAAGAAAGGTTAATTAGTTCGTTACTCAACACTGTTTAGGAAGAATGGCACAGCCAGCCACAAGGCTAAAGTCTTAAATTCGTGCTAATTAGTTAGTCATCCAACACTGGCAGAGGTAGAGGGAGTGGGAGAGGGAGAGGAAGGGGGAGGGGAGAGCTAGTGCATATGGAGCAGGTTAGGCAGTTTTACTTATTATTTAAGCAATTGCCTTTAATTAGCTGAGATTAACGGTAGTTGTACAACACTTATTCACTTAAGCATTCACAGCTGAAAAACGCAGCTAGCGCAGGCCTCTTGCAGTTGCTCTACCGCCTCCACAGTTCAGAAGTAAAGTCAATTATGTGGAACGTTTATCAACGCTGCCCAAGTCTGACGTCAGAAGAGTGGGCTAGAGATAGAGAGAGAGAGAGAGATAGGTAGAGACAAAGAAGCAACAGAAAATGGAACATCTTGGAGCAGCTCCGCATGAAGGGTTTGAGTAAGTAATCGATAATAATCGACATCTATCGATACACGAGATGCGTGAACTTCTCAAAGGTTTCGTCGTAAAGTCATCGTCGAGCGACACTATAAATTGGCATACCCCGCTTCGCAATACGTAGAGGGTATGCGTAACTACGACGAGTTATGTGTTTTGCAGCTTGGCGAGCTTGATGTGCGCTTAACATATGCTAACAATAGCCGGCGGCTACCCACGCCTTGGCAACGCTCACGCTCCCTTCACTCGAGCCTCCCAGTGGGGCGCAGGCGACAATAAAAGTTGCGTGTGGCTCGTATAAAGTTGTTTTTGCTGGCTCTTTGACTCAAGTGCTAATTAAAAGTTGGGGAATTTTATTTTGTTTCCTGCGATGCGACGCGCCACGCTGCGCTGCAACGTGCAAAAAAATAAAAGAGTGTTGCATGCCCCAGTGCCTTGGCCGGATTGCCATCCGCCAGGACCAGCCCCAGCCATTTCCCCACTCTACCTATGTCACTCGCATTTGAAGCTTTCGTGCTTTCAGCATTTATGCTTTCCCATTCACTTTTCACTCCTTTATTTAGCTAAGCCGCCACATGTTACTCTTGCTTCCTCCAGCTGGTGCTGCTGCTGCCGCTGCTGTTGTTGCACGCAAGTCGCATACATCATGCCGCTAGCAAGATTAAGCTAATGGCAGTTCCTACCCCTCCCCTCGCTCCCACTCGCCCTTGCCTAGTTCACGCCGACCACATACAATTCCCGCTGGAGCACGAGCTGGACACGCAGCGCCCCAAATCCCAACACTAATACAAAACCAATTTTAAACCCACGCCTCTACCTCGCTGCATGTAAAAGGACCCGTAATCAGGACACAAATTGCAGCCAGGCACTGGCCGAATGCGGCCACAAAGCTCTATCGAAACCAACAATAATGCTTAAGCCGACAACGTGCGTAACCCCAGCTACATTTTAAGCAACATCCCCATTCAACCCTAGCTTCTAGCTGGAGTCATGCAGAAATTTGACAGACTTATGCAGCTGAAGAGCATTCGATTTTTGGGATTATCTCCAACATAAACATCATTTCCTTCCTTCAGGTTCGATATATACATTTGTATATATCTACAGGTAACTCTGAGCGCACAAGACATTAAATCTGGATTTGGTGTTAGACAACTTTTCGTATTAGGACTCGGAAACTTTAAGGCTTACAGACCTTAAATTTGGTATTCAGACAGAACTATGCTCTAACATACTTCGGTTCCATATGGTGGCTTGAGGCTGGCCAAAGCCAAAGGCATTCAATTTGTTATGCAAACTCTCGTTTGGTATGCACAAGCTATCAAATGCGCTAAGCCTTGTCCTTGTCCTTGTCATAACGCGACGACTTTAAGAGCGAGCGACACTCGCCCGAGTTGAGTATAAGCCGCTCTGGTACGCTCAACTATTGTCAGATGGCTTTCACACACAAACGAGCTCCGTGTGAGTTGTAACGGAGCACGCGGGAGGGCAGGCGGGCAGGAGAGCACCATGTGTTGCACGCTATTGTTAGCCCATTCATTGCTAGATGTACAAAATCCTTTTAATAACATCCATTATGGATCACAAGTCAGGCGAGAAGCGGCGCAACGCCCGCACACGCAATTAGGTGGAATTTTGTGGGGCCCACAATTTAGCTCAGGCCCAGGGCTTAAGTAGGAGCAGTTTACCTGGCGACCCCCCTCCGTCACCTCCGTCACCTCCGTCGCCTCCGTTGGCAAAGTTAATGAAATTAGCAGCGAAGCTTTTCATATTTTATGAGTTTGTGGCATAATTAAAATGCAAATGCGTTTGATTAAAAGCCACAGACCCGAACTCAAAACTCAGAACTCAAAATCCAAAATCCAAAATTCAAACCCAACTTGAAATGGGCAAACGGCCAAAAGCTCCGACATTAGTCTAACTGATTCTGCCCCACACACGTGCCCCGCACTTACCCAGACTCAAGTCATAGGCGCAGATGTAGTCCGATGTGGTGAACTGATACGTCAGCGTGGTCTTGCCCACTCCGGCGGCGCCCAGCATGGCGATTTTGTACGCCGGTATTTGCTCTCCGTTGGCCCTCTGCGAGTGCTGCTGGCTGGCGGGGGCATCTGCCTCTGGGATGTCGCCCGATGCATTGCTAAGCATGAAAAATAGACCAAAAGGAGAAACAATTTAATGCAGATCATCAATCAATCGCGAATTCGGCAAACAATTTCACAGCACATGCCGTAATCAATCAAGCGCAGCGAATCAATCAATCATCAATCAACACCAAAGAAGAAGGAAGCGAATTATGTCTTTCGTTTAATCAACTTTGATGGAGCCTGAGCGCAGGGAGCATTAACAGCATATTCTAGTAGTTCTATTACGTTCAATCACATTTGATTCAGCTTGAACCTACTCTAGTTCAATCAAATCTAGATTGACTATGACTGATGGTCGCAGATACAATCAAGTGCCCATTAGAAGCCATTTGTAACTGGCCAGATCTTGAGTGATAAGCAACATCTACTTTTACAATCAACTTCGCTTGACTATGATTGATTGCTCCAGCATTAAGAAAGTCAAGTGTCTAGCCAGCATAGTAAGAAGCTGCACTCAATCACATTTGATTGACTGTGTCGCATTAGAAGAGCTTTCAGCAGATTTAATCAAATTCGACTCGAAGTATTAAGTTGCTTATTGAGATAGAAGCAGGAGCTGTGACTACGATTACGCCAGGCCATGATTGAAAGGGATATTACCTTGGGAGTGGAGTGACCTTTATGCGCTGCGAACAGTCAATTATGGACTTGAGACCTGAGACTCAAATAGCTAAATAATTCAGTCGCTTGCTATTTTCTCTGAGTGCATTTATTACTATTTTGCGTACTTAAGAAAAAAGCTTGGGAATTTGATTTTACGATTTTGCGATTTTACGATTTTACAATTTTATTGCCAGCAGAGGCCGCCTAGCTGCATGCAATAACAATAATAAGCTTCAAGGAGTGGCCGAGGCGCAGTTGACGGCGGGCCAAGCACGGCGCAAAGCGCGTGGCCGTAGCCGAAGCCAAGCAAACAACAATAATAAAGCGAGGAATTTTCTTTGACAATGCGTTTGCACAACTCGCAACAGAAAAGAAGAGGAAGAAAAATAAGAAGGCAAACGAGCCAGCGCATAATAAAGCAGCAGCAGAAGAGAAGGAAGAGCACGAGCAAGAGGAATTATACGGAAAATGTTTTTGTGTACGGAAAAAATATATGAAATTAGTTGCTGTCTGTGTAAAGGTGTGTGTGTGTGTGTGTGTGTGTGTGAGAGTGTAGTGTGCCTGCTTGTGTGTGTGTGTGTGTGCGTTGTCATTGTTGTCCCCGCTTTATTGTAAACATTCTTATGAACAATTTATTGCGTCTGCTGAACAAGGTGAAGTTCAATTTCATGAACAAGTTCGACTGTTCACCTTATACACTGGTTCAGTTCATGAACAGCAATAGCACACATGCTTATGCTTATTTGCGGGTCTTAGAGTGCAGCTGTGTTGACGGACAATGTTTCGCAGTTGAAAGTGTTCAACTCAATAGAACTAAAAGCTGAGGAACGAGTGAGCTGCTTTTTTCCAATTGATTAATCGAGCAGGGAATGCAGTTGGTTCATAAAATACATTGTTCATTTAACCTTCATTGAACTAGTTCATATCTACAATCAGTTCAGTAGCTCATTTTGAATGGGAAAACGAATCTCAACTTATTATATTATAGCTAGTTCGTTTATAGAATTAATGCAAAGAATCAGTAGTTCATTTTGCAATTGAACTTATTAGTAGTTATTAGTATGTTATTAGTAGTTCATTTTAATTTCAATTGAACTTATTACTGCAAACTAGTTCATATCTACAATCACAGAACTAGTTCAGTAGTTTATTTTAAATAAGTCGTTCAATTGAACTTTTTACTGCAAACTGTTCATATCTAAAATCACTGAACTAGTTCAGTAGTTCAGTTTACTTAACTTGTTTATTCTACTGATATGTTCAATAGAACTAATTGTTCATGAAACGCTAAATAAGTGACTGATTCGCATAACCTTTATCTCTCTCTCTCTCCCTCTCTCTCTCTCTCTCTCTCTCTCTCCCTCTCTCTTTCGTATCTCACTTACCTATTGTGTCGATCCTTGCCGCTGTTCGAGGTGCCATTTGATGTCACTGAATTGATGGAACGTGACCTGCGGCTGCTGTTGAAGACAATTTACATTGAAATGCAATAAGACGGCACACGTTAGAGCTGTTCATGTTCATGTATTTGTGTGTATGCGTGTGCCACGCCCACTTACCGTAACGAATCGCCCAGATTGCAAACGCCATGCGATGTGATGCTGAAGCTGCGCAAACGATAATAATCCATTTCGACATCCGCGCCACAATGAATCGCTGAGCGACGCGTGTCCGCCAGACGGGGCTGCAAAAGGTGCAACAGGTGTGCCACAGGTGCACATTCAATGCAAGCTCAAACAGTCCACTACTCCACATCTATCTCTATATGACAACTCTACTCCATAGCCACTTTTCCAGCTGACCAACTTGACAGCCTCTTGCTACCAACTCGCATAGCCCCTCCTGAGTACCTGCCTGCCACAGCATCTTCTATATGAACTTAATGAGCTTTAAGTCCATATCGAAGCAAGCCAATACGCTCGCTTCCGCGGCAGGCGAACAGGCATAAACATATAGCAAAGCTGTTGCTGTGCTCCTTCAGCCTCGTCTTTTTGTTTGTTTTCAATAAAAAGGAAATGCGATAAAGAACTCAAATTTGTGTTTTTCTTTGCTGTCAGTTGGCTGTGGCCCAGGCCAGGGGCGCGGGTTGGGGCCAGGACTGGATACTGGCTGCTATGTCCTTGACTGTTTTGGGGCAGCTGCCATGCCAACCATTTGGCATGGCTGAGCAAACCATCAATTGGTGAGCCTCTCGACTTTCAGGACTACGCGACGAGTGCGTAAAGCATGCAGCCAGGCATAAAGCATATATAAATGTATATAAGCTGTGTGTGTGTGTGTGTGTGGGTGTGGGTGTGGGTGTGGGTGTGGGTGTGTGGGTGGCTGCTTGCGGATGTGTGTGTGCTGAGTCTCTTGCGGGTATTCTTAGTGAAACTAAAGTTTTTCTCTTTTTCCTTTTCATTGGCATGGTCAGAATGTGTGCCTATTTATATATATATATATATATATATATGTGTGTGTATGTGTGTGTGTGTGTGTGTATGTACACTAGTCATTAACTTGGATTTATGGTTAGGACTATGGCAACTAACTAACGCGCAACATATCACATCCTACTTTGCCTTCCTGTTGCTCCACTTGCTTTATGTGCACACACACTCGCGCACACACGCACACGCACACACATACACACACACACACACACACAATCTGGCTTTTGCTCTCGAACTCGCTTTGGGAATTCATCTGGCTTGCAGTTGTCTAGTCTGCAGCGCTAATGTAATTAGTTTTCTTGCTCGCGCTTAAAAGTAGGCAACAGAAGCTGAGCACACAGAAGCTGCAGTCGGCAGTTGGCGGTTGGCGGTTGGGGCCTGGCATGAGTTGATTGTCCTGTTGCCCCGTTTAACTTGCAATGCCCCAAAGCCGACTCCAAACTCTACTTAAGCCCAGCCGTCAACTGTCTTGCATTTGAGTCAGTTTGTTTGCATATGAAATTTTCGTGGTCGCAAATGTCAAAACATGTTTAACGAGCGCCACGCCCCCTTGACGTATGCCCTGCTGGGCGGGTGGGGAGCAGCTGACAGCTGCAGGCCATCGCTTCGCAAAAAATCGAATCGATGGCAAAAACATGTCGCCAGGCAGCGCAACAGAATAAAGCCGAAAGAATGTCAAGAGTGGCCGTGTGCCACGCCCATACGCCACACACAGAGAGACACACGCAGAGGTAGGTAAAAACTTGTCTACTGCAACAAAGCTGCGCTGCAACCCCAGCAGCAGCAGCTGCAACTTCCGTTCGCTAACCGCCCCCGCGTGGGCATAATAAGGGCGACATTTGGACTAGACGGGTAGAGGGTGTGAGTTGTGTGTGTGTGTGCAGGTGTGTGTGGGTGTGTGGGTGTGTGGGTGTGTGGGTTTCCTTTTGTGCATACAGCGTGCATGTGCAGCCATCCACGATTGCTGCTTGGGCAACCCAACAACTGGGATTGAATCTGCTAGCCTCTGGGCTTTCAAGTAATGCCCATTTCTTCCCTTCACTGTTTCTTTTTTTTTGGCAATATGTGAAAGGACAGGGTTGTTGTGTGTGCGCGCGTATCTGTGTGTGTGTGTGTGTGTGTGTGCTTTCGTATTAGCAAGATAGGCTAGCGTGTTCTTTAGTACTTGTGTGTTTTGTTACCGAATCTCTAGGGCAAACTTCATCTCGAGAGTCCTGAAAACAAAGCAGTGAGAAAAGCGCTCCAGTCGGGAGTGAACGACTAGCAGATATCCTAACTATTTTATACTACTTGAAGACACTCCTTCTATACTCTAATCTACGCTTAGCTGAACAGACAGGCAGACAGAGAGTGGGGCAGACATAGACGCCCAAAGCTGTATCGGATCAGCTATATATATCATGCACTTAAGGAATTAGCTTACTAGCAATATATCGAAGATGTTAAGCAATTCAAGGCATTACGAAAGTAATTTAGTGAAAGGCAAAAGCTCGCATCGTATCATTGTCTCTTCAGAGATTTATGAAGGTAGGCGTGATGATGTTAAGGAGCTGAGGCTGTCAAGCAAGTGCAATGGAAGAGATTTACATAAGTAATTGCGAGAGTAGCTAAAGTAATTAAGCTTGAAATACGTAACTAATTATGTAAGTAATTGAATGTAATTAACTGTAATGACTGCGATTTATAGGCAACGGCAACTATCTCTGATTCTACTTACTTTGCGACTCTCTGCCGGCATGCTGGATGTGCGTAGACGTTGTCGCTCCGTCATGTGTACAGCTACGGCTATGGTAGCGGAGCTGCCACGCAGCTGCTGTTGTGCGTAGGCAACGCTGGCCGCTGTTTCGCCAACGCCCCGCTCGCGCTGCTGATTGTTCTTCACTGACTGATATTGCTGCTGCTGAGCCCTGGTGTTTGCGACGGGCGAGTGAATATCATCACTGGAACCGGCTGTGTTCGAGTCCGTGGCACTCGGGCCACTTGTTGTTGCTGTTGCCGTTGTTGTTGATGCTGCATACTCGGCCACGGCCGCCAAAGCTGAGCTGGAGCCGACGTGACACTTGTCAGGCCCATTGGCTGACAACTGAGCACTGCTTCCAGATCCTCCTCCAGCTCCTGCTCCAACTCCCATTCCCGTTACTACTCCAGTGTACTGGGGCGATACCGCACCGGTCATCGCCTGATGGAAGGTCAGTACACCACTCTCGATGGCCCGACCAAGCGGGGACTTGGCCAGCGTCATCCTCTCCCTGCAATCAGATTTCAAAGCAGAGACACAAAGCCCACCAAGACGCATACCGTCGTTGGACAATGGTGCATTGTATCATGGCTTAAAATAAATTGCATTGACAGTCGATAATTAGCTTGCTGGCAGCGTCTGCCGACGGCGGCCACACTAAATTGATTCAATATGGCGATCGCATTTCGTGCCAACTACGAAGTTGCGGCTCTCATCGAACCCACTTAAGCCACTACTTAAGGCTTATTCAATTTTTCAATTTTCTCCTCATTTCGTCATTTGCTTTCAAGCAGCAGCGAAAGTAACGAAGAAAATGCGGACGAGCTGAGATCTATCAAAGCTGCTCATTGGCCAGCGACAGCTTAAGGTCAGCTCGAAGGAGAAATTCAATTATGGATGAAATCAACTTAAAGAGGCCGCGATAGACCACTTTTATTAAGTTTTGCACTCTGTGAACTCTGCTTTAATTGTATCAAAAAACTCCATTGAAATCGAAGGTAAGTTTCAGCTTGTGAAGTCTTTGTAATCGATAACTCAAGTATTTATCGATGGCACCGATAAAAGCAATCGTTATCTATATAGATTATCGATGTGGAATAGAAATCATTCAAAATCGTTGATTCTGTATATCGATATAAGCAATCGATAGAATAAATGATATCGATATCTTATCATATCGAAATCGAAAATAAGCTTCAAATGATTAGCTCTCAGTGCTTATTCATAAATCACTATATTGGTACAAGCTATCGATTACGTAAGAATTTATCGATAAGCTGTCCAACACTTGCACTGAATAACCAGTTTATTCAATCGATAATTTGAGTTTCGGACAATTATTTGAATAAGGTGACAGCTAATTAAAGTCAAATTCAGTAACCACAACATGAGCCTTTGATTGTCAGTGAGTTGTGGCCAAGACAAAGCAATTGCTACAATTGTGGCTGCAATTGTTGCTGCTGTCACAATTTTGAGAAACCGCAGATAGATGTGGGAACAGAGCCAAGCTAATTAACCAGCAGCGTGCCGACTGAAGCAGCCATAGATTAGTTGATAAAGGGATGCGGGTCTGATTTCCCCTACCTGTTGCCAGTGGTGGGGAGCGTTAAGAGCTCCTCCACCTCTTCAACTTGCTGCTGCTCCTGTTCCTGCTGCTGCTGCTGTTGTTGTTGCTGCTGCTGCTGATGCTGCGGCTGCTGCTGCTGTTGTTGTTCGGCGAAAACGCTGTTGTTGTTGTTGTTGCCATAGCTAAAGCCATGATCGCCATGCAGCACGCCAGTCGCAATCGAGGAGCTGCGGCGTCTATTCAAAATCGGTGACCTCTGCATCCTCATGCTCGGCTGCAATTAGTAGGAGTAGGAGGAAATCATATCATTCACAGCTCTATATGTAGAGCTAGGGTGAACAGACACTTTACACAGCGGCTACAAGATAGGGCGAGATACGGACCGACTGACGGATGGAAGGACTAACGGATGGAAGGACTGATGAATGGAAGAAGTGATGAACTGATGAATGCAACGACGGACGGACGGACCGGAGAACTGTCGGACGAACTGATTGACTGAATCATGAACCCATGAGTTGAGGGCAAGTATGGATAGATTTTTGCTTACCGGCCCCGTTCCTGGTCTCGGATCCGGAGCCGCCTGCAGAAAATCCTGATAGGTATGATATAGTGTTCCCCCTGCCATTCCAGTTGCTGCTGCCGATGTAGACGGAGTCTCGTCCTGCCAATTGTATTGTATCTGCAATTCCTGCACGTTGTAGGGTTCACTGTAGTTAGCATAATGCGGCTGCTGCTGTTGCTGCTGCTGCTGTGGCTGCTGGTCATATTGTTGTGGCTGCTGGTGCTGCAGATTGTAGCTGTAGCCAACTGCCGAGTTGTTGTTGCTCACTGTCCGTTGTACATTGTTGCGACTCTGCTGTATGCGCTGATACGAGACGATGCTGCTCTGCGTCACTGGTGGCATGGGCAGAAGCCGATGCAAATATGCCTGGGCCGATGTACTGGGCTGCTGTGATAGCGGCGGCAATTGCTGCTGTTGTTGCTGCTGCTGCTGCTGCTGCTGCTGCTGCTGTTGTTGTTGCTGCTGCTGTTGCATCTGCTGCTGCTGTTGCAGTTGCTGCTGTTGTTGCTGCTGCAACTGTTGCTGCTGCTGGTGCAATTGTATTTGCAGCTGATGTTGCTGCTGCTGCTGCAGCTGCAGTTGTTGCTGCTGCATCTGCTGCATACTTTGCAACTGCTGCAAGTGTTGCATCTTCTGCTGCTCCTGCTGGTTCTGCAGCTGTTGCTGTTGCTGCTGCAATTGTTGCTGCTGCTGCTGCAGCTGCTGCTGTTGCGGCTTCAATATCGGCTTCAACACATTGTACGCCAGCTGTTGGGGCGCCGGCGACGGCACGGGTGCGTCGCTCTCTTCGAAACTAGCATCTGCAACAGAAACTCCAAATGAACAACGACAATTTCATCCAACTACAAAAATATGCGTGTTGTCCTTTGTGCATTGGTTGATAAGGAGACCAGATACCCTGTACCATGCTTGCAACTGGGGTATATGCGATTCGCAATACTTTCTGCTTGCTATCGAGCGAGATTGTCGCATGAGCTGAACTAGTTCCGTTTATATCAACTGCAAATCTCAACAGACTTGTTTGCAAGTAATGAAAGTAGATTATTCACTGCAGTACTAAATCAGCCTTGAAAGCTACTACTAGTTCACTGTTCACGAGTCAGTTTAATTAAACTTATTGCTGCAAGCCACTTCACATCTAGAATAATAGCAAAAGGAACCGTGCAAAAGTAGCTAATAAACTGCACCGATGAGTGCTCACTGCGCTAGTTCAGCAGTTCAATTTGTGTGGTTCGTTCAATGGAACTTGACAACTGGAATCTGCCTCAGGTCTAATTGGGGAATTTGCATTGTTTGTTTCTCACAAAAACATTTCTTTTCAGCTACGCAGCAGCACATTCAGGTAGATGTTGCACCCACACACACGCCACACGCACACACAGAAACAGTCATAAATTAAGACTGACCAACTACTAAAAAATGCCGCTCACAACTGTGGCAGCTGTTGCTGCTGCTATTCACGTTGGCATTTATGGTCCCAGGTCTTAATCTCTTGCTATGCCTCGGAGTCTGTTCAAATGTCACCCAACACACACAAACGCTCACTCACCCACACACCCACACACGTGCAGAAATATGTTACCTAAATCGAAGCGAAAGTCAAAGCCAAAGTCAAATATGAGAATGTTTTCAGCCAAAAACTTTGTTGCTGGCATATTTCAAAGGCTTCATTGCCAGCATCTCCCTCCCTCGTTTATCTAAGTGCATATATTAGTTAAGTTAAACGCATATAGGGTATATATTAGTAGCGCTTTGTAAAAACTTTAAGCTTTGTGCATTTCAGCTTTGAGTAAATTTGGCTTGCCTTTCTCGTTTCTTAGCAAATTAATATTGATTGTCATAAAATGGACAAAATAATGTTGCAATCAGAAGTTTGTGGCAATGAAATAAGAAAACAGGGTATACTAAGTGCCAAGTAGAGGGTATAATGAGTCGATACTTGATTGATTGAGAAATTGATTCATTTTAACTGCGCGATTCATAGATTCATAGATAGAATGACTAATAGATAGATTGATGGACTGCTTGATAGACCTGACTGAATAACTGCTTAATTTATTGACTTATATCATAATTGATAGATTGATTGATAAATTGACTGAGTGATTGATGGCATCAATAGATTGATTGACTTACTGAAAGACTTGGTAGGTAAACTTGACTTATTAAGGGATTTCATGATTGATAGATGACTGATGATTGATTCGTTCATTCAGTCACCCATTCATTGCTTTATTCAGTCATTTATTCAGTCTTTTATTTATGCATTCTTTCTTTCATTTATACATTCAATTCTCAACTAATTTGTTTCCATGAAAAACCAAATAAGGAAAGACTCAAAGCATACTAATTTAATTACTGACCCTTGACATCAATTCAAAAAATGTTTCTAATTTGATTAGAGAAGCATTAGAGAAGTGTGCGTTGGGTAGCGCCAGCTCAATTCAATCAATTCATCAAATCAATTTAATCAATTAAAAGTTGCTCAAAAGCAATTGAAAACTCAACCAAAACTCAAAAGGAAGCTTCATTTCTCGGTGCCCGAAAATTTAATGTTTTCCTTTCGCATTTGTTAATACCGTAGCCAAAAGTCAAGTAAAAGTGCTTTGATCAGAGAGCCACCAGGCGAACACTTAGCTCGTTGAAACATGACTTTAAGAGGTGCCCCTATAAGAGGCGCAGGGCATGGCCTAGGCACGCACACTATTTCACAGCGATATAATTTAATGAACTCGTGTCGCTGTTTATCGAACGAATTACTTAACTTCCTTTTAATAATATGTTCATTCGTAAGCCGAAACCCTCCCATTTTAATGGGCATTGCTGTTTTGCTCGACTACCTTCTGATCCGATTAACCGATGTTCAAATTCGAGCTGTCAGCTGTCTGTCTCTCGGCCGCCCACGTAGCTGAAGCCCATTTAAAGGGACCTTTTTATACCCTGTATACCCTGGAATGAATCACGCTGAACGTGTTGATTGGAACAGTTAGAGAGAGATACATTTTAGAGTCTACATATTTGAGACTAACTTCGAGTTCGATAACTACCGATATGATTTTGCTCAACATCGATAACAATCGCTATTATAAATGGCTGTATTGAGCTGTTGTGAGAGCTGAACTGGGAACAAAGGAATAAGGAAATTTGCAGTGTAACAAAAGGGGACTTTTTTGTTGATCGATAAATCGATAAATGTCTAAAAAGCACAAAATATCGATAAATGTCGATAAGTTGCGGTAACTATCGATAGATATTAGTTAGTTCTGCTGCAGATAAACATTCCCACCCCATTCACCCTCTCTTTCTCTCTCCTCTTTACTCCTTCTTCGCACTCTGTCTTCCTCTTTCTCTCTCAAACCCGCCCTCTTTATACTGATTACAGGGTATGCGCACACGCTCTACTCTTCTGCTAAAGCACTTATTTGTTGGAAGTTGTTTGTTGTCCGGCTTTAAACGCCCCAAAATAAAAAGGTTCCACGTTTCGGCGTGGGTTTAGCTCCGAGCTTGTTGAGCTGTTGTAACCTTTTTTTAATATGTTGTCGTTGCTGCTTTGCTGTCGCTTAGCAGCTTTTCTTTTGGTTCGCTGTTCATTTGCCACTTTTTAAGTTGATGTTTAACTTGAGCTTTGTGGGCCCAGCTGATGTTAGCCCCGAACCCTCCCTCAGTCTCTCTCTCTGTCTCCCTTTCCATTTCTATCCATATATCCTTTTTTCGGTAACTTCTTTTCTCTTTATGAAAACTTAATACGCTTTATGCCTTTTTGATGGGGCCACAGCCATGAGCGCCAAAGCAAGCAGCACATCGAATTACCACAAAACTCGCAGCATCAATAGCTGTGCTCGCAGGCGTGTGTGTGGGTGTGTGTGTGTATTGATAAATTTTAATTGAAATATGAATGTGGCATCCATTCACACACACGCACACACACACACACCTGGCGAGCCGACACACACCTGTGCCACCACCAGAAAGCAACAGACGCTCAACAATGTTATTTGTTTTCTCCAGTCGTCAATTAAGTGAGTATGTCTGTGTGCGTGTGCGTGTGTGTGTGTGTGTGTGTGAGTGTGAGTGTGTTTGGCTTGTAGCCAGCGCTGTGTGTGTGCGCTTTGTCTGACAAGGCTATTTCGCAGCCAAGCTTTAGAAAATGTGGTGCCTGCACGGCGCCCACTTCACAGTCAAAACGTTCTCCCACACACGCCCACGAAAGAGCTGACAACACACGTTTAAAGTTTTCAGCTATCACCTGCTGTAATAAGGCGACGGCTCCCTAATTAACCAGCTTGCAGCTAAGCCACAAAATTGAATATTCCCTGACTGTTGATCTCTCGCTTCATCTCCTTATCTCTCGCTCCCTCTGCCCCTTTTAGTCTGTGCCTTTCCCTCTTCGGTCTTCAGTCCTCCTTTTCTCCTTCTCTCTATCACCTTCCTATGCAATTCTCATTCGAGCAGTCAATTGGAACATCTCGCACTTACCAAAATCAAATGCTCGCTCAAGTCTGACCGAGAGCCGTGGCTGTTGGTGCAATTGATGGCTTGGGCTGTCCGGCAAGAGGCGTGGCATAGCATAATTTTTGGGCGCACGCCCTCCACTGTTGTCCTCGCCATCGGGTCCAAGTCGCAGTTGATTCAACTCCATTTGTAGGTCTCGTGTCTGCTGTTGTTGCGGCAAGTGTTCCTGCTCCAATTGCTGATGCTGCTGCTGATGGTGGTGCTGCTGCTGATGGTGGTGCTGCTGCTGATGGAGGTGCTGCTGCTGGTGATGGTGCTGCTGCTGGTGATGGTGCTGCTGTTGATGGTGCTGCTGCTGGATATTGGAAACGCTCATCGGCAACTGCTGCACATTGGGCATCAAATTGGACGTGCTGGGTCTGGGCAAGCAACTGTTAAGGTTGTTCAGATTGCTGTTCAACGCCGAGTGCTGTGGGCTGCGCGTCACCAGCTGGTTGTTGAGCAGACTCTCGACACTGCTGCCAGTGCTGGAGCAGTGACTGAGCATGCCGCCATAGTCGCCAACGTCATCGATGCCCGACACGCTCCTGCGTCGTGAGCTGCGGCTGCGGCTACGCGGGCCATAAACATAGCCCGATGTCGAGGCGAACTCTTGGTCCATAGCCATGGACCTGCTCATATCGCCGCTGCTGCCGCTACGACTGCGTCCTGCTCCATGGACCAGCTGATGATACTGCTGATGCTGATGTTGATGCTGGTGCTGCTGCTGGTGCTGCTGCTGCCAAGTGAAACGTATCTGGGAACGGGACCGAGAACGATTTTGCATCTGGTCCTCAGCTTGATTTTGAGCTTGGCCCGGCGGTACGACTTGGGCACGACCGTGAGCGTTCGCCTCGGTCGAAGTGTCGGTGGATTCATGCGCAGCCTGGCGGTTGCGGTGGTTGCGTAAGCTGCCACCGCTCCGCTGGCGCTGGACATGCATCGGACTGCCGCGCGGTATCACCTGGCCCAAAAGCAAAGAAAGAAAGCAAATATAGAGATTAAGTCAGACGTTGTCTACACAGTCTACATGTTGCACATGCCACACAGATCGATGCAATGTGAATGTTGGCGAGACTCCGTTGTGGCAGAATGAGGGACTTTGATACCTTATCCTCCAGCAGATTGGCGAACAGTTCGACGTGATCCTCGTCTTCGTTCATCATTGCAAAGAAATTCTTGAATGTCTCCGGAAACGTAGCCGGAAATTGACCCTGCGCCAATTTCGCATCCATTTTCAATTCTTTTTTCTTTTTTCTTTATTTTTTCTTTTTTCTTTTTTTGCCTTTTCTCGCTTTGCGCTTTTCGCTTTGCTAACGTTTTAACAACATGCAATATAGAGAACATACATCAAGTAATTAGAGTGAACAACAGGCGACAGCCAAAAGGAATATGAAAACAAAAGGCAAAGACAAACTAAAAGAAAATATCAAAAACAGAAGAAAATTGTGAAAGAAAAAAGTTATAAGATGAAGAGCAAAATGTTTAAAGTTGAGCTCCAAGTGTGTCTCTGTGTCTGAGTCTGTGTGTGTGTGGCTGTGTGTGTGTGTTAACAATTAGAGCTCAACTGTTAAATGGCCTAAATGAGTGAAACAATGAGCGTTGAGACTCGTCCACGAAACAACTTCCAAATTTCATTTCACGCCAGCAAAGAAACGGAAAAGCACTGCACATGGGGCATGCTCGACTGGCAAATGCCCTTCCCCATTACTTATCATTAATATAGATATGTTACTGAGAGACCTGGCAAGCACAATTGAGTCGGGCACACAACTGGCTGTTACCCTGCATCTCTTTGCTCACCTGGCTCATGTTCAGCACATCTAGAGCAGCGCACAAACAGGAAGCCAATACAACTCATGTTGGTAAGCTGATAGGCTTTAAGCTTTGCTCACAGTTTGTAATGTACACTCTGTACACGTAAATGTATATGTGTGTGTATGTATGTGTGCTACAGACACTAAGTGCCGGGTATGACAACAACAACAAGTGGAACAAAGGCACGTTGAGCACATTATGTATACGCAGTGGCTGCCATTGAGAAGATTTTCTTTTTCGTCAGCTCGAGAATGCTGATTTTTTTCCTCTTGTTTTTTCCAAGCGGCTAAATTTGAAAAGTTGCCACGCCGCTGGCTGTGACTGAAAACTGCTGCCTGCCACTTGGCCAGGCCAAAGCATTCACCCGCACAGTAAGCCAGCTGCCCAGCCTAGCCGCCCAGCCGCCCAGCCTCACCTCCAAAGTTGAAAAGTTATTTTAATGGCGGTTTTTTGGTCGTCAAGCCAGCAGCAGCAACTTAGCTGCGCGCTAACGACTGCTTAATACCCGCTCACATTCAAAAAGCGACATCTTTCCTTATTCAAAGCGAAACTCTAGCATCCTTCGTCTAACTGCATAAGTTTAGCTTAAGTCTAACTAGAGGAACTTGCATTTTTGTAGAGTCGACTGCATAATGCTCGCTCATTATTATACTGATTGTTTTGATACTAAATTCGAGTACTATCTCTGAGCTGGAGGACTTATTGAGCTTAGGGTTAAGTCTTAGCTTGTTCAGAATACTAGTGACTGCGTAATACTCGCTCAATGCGTTTGCGTTGGCTATGCTCAGTCTTGTGCATAGTTTGATTAAATCTGTTGATATGCTCGCTACTCAAACGCATATACACTTCTCCGTTCAACGAGCGAGCAGTGAAACAACAACGCGTTCCACAAGAGCCCATTCAACTTTTATACACTGCAAATGGACTGGCTGCGGTTGTTTTGGCTGTCATCCAATCCCTATGCGCTAGCCCTCGGCCCTTCTCTCTGTCTCTCTCTCTCTATCTCTCGCTATTCCTTATGCCCCACTCTATGCGTTCCCTTTTCCTTTTGGCCTTTGGCATCTGTTTCCCAGTCGCTAAACGGAACTGAAAACGGAGCACTGAATACTTTGGCTCTGAGACATTCTGTCTGTCAACTTTCGAGGCCGACACGCTTAAGTATCATGCGATGTACCAGACAGAGCGAGAGAGAGAGAGAGAGAGAGAGAGAGGAAGAGGGAGAGAGTGAAAAACAAGTACACACTTAATGAATTCCAATTTCATTTTCGGCACCTAATTGAATTGCAGATGAAGGTGTTGAAGAGGCATGCCAGACAAATAGCTAATTAGAAAGATTTAGATTATTCATCAGTGATATAGGCATTGAGTACAGTTAGATTTGCAGGATTCAGACGCTATGCGTGCTATAAATAAAATGGCCTAGAGCCAAAGTAATGTGCCCCCTTTAAAGACTGTTTGCCATAGCTTTAGGTTCGGTCTCTGTCACAGTCAAGCTCTTATGCCAGCTAGCGGCGGGCAGTAGATTATGTTATTTAATCGCCGACTGAAGGCCACCTTTAACAGTCCATTTGATGGCCAAAGGCCAAAAGCCACAGATAAAGCTAAGAGCAAACGGCAGCTGTCAAAAGCTAACAGAACAGGAGCTGCATTCGGCCTTTCGAGTAGACAACTCGTTGCTTTATCGAAGAGACGAACATACAAAGAGATACAGAGAGAGAGAGAGAGGGAGAGAGTGAGAGAGGGAGAGAGAAAGAAAGACAACAGTAGCCGCAAGTTGAATTTCTTGCTAAAGCCTTGTATTTGATTTTACAGTCTTTTTTGCCAGTTTGTCAAGTCCGTCAACAAAAACGATTGCTGTAATGAATGAGACTTTACACAGGAGGTCAAGCATCGCAACAAGCGACAAACAACAATCTAATATAACACAGTGGGCGTGCTTCTAGCGATTGCTCAACGAACAGATACCCTGTAAGCTGTTGCTGCTGTTAAATTCATTCATGTCCATAATTATTATAGACAGATCATCATTACTATACTATTAAGCATCTAGATAAGACCGGGAAAAGTGTCGAGTCTAACTGCATTTAAGTTTAGTAATAAGCAGAGTGACGACCTGACTGAAGGCGCGTTGGCATTAGCATTAGCATTAGCATTAGCATTAGCATTAGCATTAGCATTACCATTAACATTATTCCTGTTTCGTTCACGACGATTTTCATAATTATAATTTTTTATCATCATCATTGTCGCTGTCATCACTTTCATGCCTCCATTCATGCGCACACACATAACTGCATTTGCCCACAATCAATATACCCTGTAATGGCCCATTTGCAATGGGTTCAATGCCTTCAAAGAGGTAAAAACTAATGCAAACTAATTTTGCCGTGTTGCTAATTTGCAAAGTTTGCGGCGCAGCAATTTGAGAGGCGTTGCCGCAAGCTTTGGCTACCCCCGAAGAGTGGCCATAGCGAAAGGGTATACTCTATTAGCTGCGTTGCAACTGCCAAGGCTCTACAACTTTGCGAATATGCTAATAGCGACAACTTTGCAATCTTCATGTAAGACCTTTATACATCTTTCTATATACTTTTATTTTCGCAATCTGTAATTTCTTGGACTACCCTCGCTTCAGCTCCATCTATCTGCGGTGTGCTAGAGTTATTATCAGGGTTTCTTCTAGTCAGGCACAAGCGTTGAGATGGAAGTTTGCTGTGTGTTGTGTGTGTGTGTGTGTGCGTGTGTGTGCGTGTGTGTGTGTGTGTGTGTGTGTGGCATATAGAGAGAAACATTTGCTGGCTCTCGGCAGTTAGGAAACGATGTCAAGTGTGGGTGTTTCAGCTTTCGGTGCAGGCTCTCAACTCGCGTCAAGCTTATTAAAAACAAGTAAAAAAACTCTAGTCGGGATGCCCGACTAGCAGATACCCTGAACCGTGTCGAACTGCTAGCTACCTAGCTCTTTAGACACTGAGATCGACGCGTTCAAACATACGGACAGACGGACAAGGGATAGACTTGGCTTGTTGTCCTCACAAAGAATGAATATAGTTTATGGGGTCTGCCACGCCTACTTCTACCTGCGTACAATTTAACAAGAGCATCATACCCTGATTTGCCATTTTCATTGGGTTCAGGGTATAGAAAGCAGGCAGCAGGAGTGAGGAAACCGGAGCGATAGAGAGAGAACGAGTAAAAGCACGAGGTAGAGGTAGCAGTAGAGACAGCATAGGCCAGGCCAACTGGGCTGGAGACCCAGACCATCCATGGCCACGCTTCGCCGAGTGTTTTAAGCGTTTAGCGCACTCAGCTGATTATGGCAAACAAAAAGTATCTGGGAACCAGCCAGAGGAGCCCAGGCTAGCGCCGAGCAGCTTCATTCCAGCATTGGCCTCAATTGAGTTTCGGTTGCCAAGTGGCGGCAGAGCGAATTGCCTTATAGTATAACGGCAAATTCGTTAGCCAGTTATCGCTAATTTTTAATTAGCCGCACCAGCAGGTGGCGCGTCAGCGAGCCAACGTATAATGAGAAGCGTATGCCATCTCCCTCTAGCCACAAATGACATGAGACGAGATAGAAACTCGACTTGGTAGCTGTCATAGGCAGCTCATTTCTAGCAAATGTGGCCTAGACACACACACCCACACCCACTCCCTCGCCCACACGCACACACATATATGCATATGGCTATCTGTGATCCCTGCGCATTAAATTATGAACTTGCCCAAACAATTATGCAACATTTCAGGCAAGTGCGCCTCGAATATTCCCAGATGAAGCAGCCGCCAACACGACTAACAGATACTCTGCAATTTAGTGCATTGCATTCCTATACATTTGACATTGAAGACTTCTCGATATACCCCATAGTTGAGAACATTTGCCACGAGCACAGGGTATGCAACTAAAGAAGACAACGGAGACGATGAACATTTGCTGCTGGCTGTGCAGCTGGAGGTTAACGTGAAGGGTCCTCTGCAACTGTGGCACATGTAGCACATGTGGCATGTAGCTCATATGGCGTGTGGCATGTGGTAAGGCAAATGAATGATAAAACCATGAAACTAATGAACAGCAGCCAAAGCACATGTCTCACAATAAGCTAAACCACTGCCAAAAGCACTAATTCGTTGCTCATTTCAAATTTGTGGCAAGCCAAATAACTCTTCAGTTTATGCAGCTATCAGTTATCGGTCAGCAAGTGGAGAGGAAGAGCAGCTCGGGGCAAGCGAACTCCCTGTCCGTTTAAGCACATTTTTATGTTCAGATTCAGAAGTAGTTCATTTTAAGTGACTAACTCCACATGGGCTTAGGTCTATGGAACTGAACTTTATGTCTACTGAACTAGTTCAATGGTTCATTTCAATGTGTGAACTTGTTATCTAAAATGAGCTAGCTCAGTAGTTCATTTAAATAAGCTG